CAACAACAACAACAACTTGACTCTGACATTAAAGAAATACTTGCCTGCTCTTAGGATGAGCAGGTTAAATTGCAGCAACCAACTACCTTTGAAATGTTGTTGTTGATATTATGTGCCATCGAGTCACCTGCAATTCAGTGATTCTATATGCATTGGCTCCGAACCCTGCCCTAAACTGAGCCAATTTCATCATCTCCGACAGGCCTATTCCCATTTCTCCAGTCACTGAGTCAATCCACCTCATCCTTGGTCTTCCTTTCCTGTGCTGTCCAGCCACCCTTCCAAGCATGATGTCCTTCTCCAAGAACTGGTCCCTCCTGGCCATGTGCCAAAGTATGTGAGATGATGCTTCAAAATCCTTAACTCTAGAGAACAGCTTGGTTTCACCCTCACCAGGATAGACCTGTTTGTTCTCCTGGAAGTCCACAGTATGTTCAACACTCTTCTCCAGAACCACAACTCAAAGGCAATGATCTTTCTTCTATAATTCTTAGATTTGTCTAGCTCTCTGATGTGTAACAAGTAATTGTGAAGACTGTAGCCTGGTTCAGGCACACCTTAGTCTATAAACTGACACTGTTGCGCTTCAGTACTCTGGAGAGGTCCCTGATAGCAGATTTCCCCAGTGGATTTCATCTTTTGATTTTTTGACTGCTGGTACCAAGAGTGTTGATTGTGAAAATAAGCAAGCAGAAATTGTTAACAACCTCAGTCTCTTCTCTGTCTATCATGAAGCTGCCAGTTGGCCCGGTGGTGAGAATCTTTGCTTTCTTGCTGTTGAGCTTCAATCCATATTGAAGGCTAATACAGTCCTTGACCTTCTGCAGCAAACACCAATGTCCTCCTCAGTTTCAGCAAGCAAGATTGTGTCATCTGCATAATGCAGGTTGTTGCTGGGTCTTCCTTTAATCCTAATGCCACATTCCTCCTTATAAAGTCCAGGTTCCTGAATGATCTGTTCTGCATATAGATTGAAAAGGTATGGAGACAGGATGCATTCCTGATGCACACATTTTCTGGTTCTGAACCGTGTAGTGTTTCCCTGTTTTCTTCTGACCACTATTTCCTGGTCCAAGTACAGGTTTTACATGAGTATAATTAAGTGTTCTGGATTCCCATTCTTCTCAAGTTTAGCCACAATTAGTTGTGATCCACACAGTCAAATGCCTTTGCATGGTCAATGAAACACAGACATTCCTTTGGTACTCTGCTTTTGGCCAAGATCCATGTAACATTGGCTGTGATGTCCTTAGTGCCATGGCTTCTTCTAAACCCAGCTTGCACATTGGCAGTTCTCTGCTGAAGGTACTGCTGCAGTCATTTTTGGCTAATCTTCAGCAGGATCTTGCTTGTGATATTAGGGATATTGTTTGATAATTTCCACACTCTGTCAGGTCACCTTTCTTTGGAATGGGAATAAATATAAATCTCTTTGCATCAGTTGGCCCAGGAGTTGTCCTCCAGATTTCTTGCATAACCTGATTAGCATGTCCAAGGTAGCATCTGTTTGCTAAAATATGCCAACCAATTGGTATTCTATCAATTCCTGGGGCTTTATTATTTTCCAATCCTTCAGAGCTGCTTGAACTTCCTCCTTCATCACCAGTACCTCTTGATCACCTGTTTCATGAAATTCTGTCTCAGCCAATTCTTTTTGGTATAGTAACTCTGTGTACTCCTTCCATCTTCTTTGCTGCTTCCTGCGTCATTCAACATTCTGCCCACAGCATTCTTACGTATTGCAACTCAAGGTTTGAATTTGTTCTTCAGCTCCTTCAGCTTAAGAAATGCTGAGTGAGTTTGTCCCTTTTGATTTTCTGACTCCAGCTCTTTTCACATTTTGTTGCCATATTTTGTTTTGTCTTTTAGAGCTGCCCTTTGAAATCTTTTGTTCTGCTTCTTAACATCTAGATTCCCCCCCCCCCCCCCCCCCCCCTTGCTTTGGCTTCTCGGTGCTCTAGTGCGGTATTCAGAATCTCTTCTGACATCCATCTTGGTCTTTTTCCCTCTTCTGTCTTTGTAATACCATTTTTCAATCTTCATGGATGTTATTCTTTATATATTCCCACAGCATAGCTGGTCTTCACTCATTAGTATCCAAGGCCTCAGACCTGCTCCTGAGATGGTCTTTAAATTCTGGTGGGATAGACTCAAGGTCAAACTTTGGTTCTTGTGGATTTGATTTTACTTTCTTTAGCTCTGAAATAATTGTGACTTAACAAGATGAAGCTTGACTTTTTCCTGGTTCAGTCTTACCTTTAACAGGAGCAGGATGCTTCCGTTCAATGCTCAGTCCCCCAAGCTCAGAAAATGATGGGACTGATCTTGGATCTCATGAGCTGCTAGATATACTCTGGGCTTGGGGTGATGTGATAATCTTTGTAGATTTCTCTGTAGGTTTCGGACATGCTCTATATTTCTAGCTGTTGGGTCATTTCCATGCCTCCCCTAGTTGTAAAGCTGGTTGATATGAACCGGCTTTGGAAAAGCTACACAGATGCTGGAGTTTTCTTGGAAGGAAACCATACCCAGTGATCATTGCACACATGGGATAGGATGCATCTGGTGGTTACTGAGTGCAGCCTGGCTCCTTCATTCATTCCTCTAACAGATCTTTATGCATCTTCCCCTCTATGCCAGCTTGGGTACAGGGACCACAATCACTGAGATTAGCCAACTTCTGTAGTAAAATGGACCAAATGTTTAATTATCTCTGGAATATACCAGCCTCTCAGGCTCTGGAAAGATCCATGATTGGCCAGGCACATGGCATGCCGTCTAGCTTTTACTGTAGGTTCAGTCAGTTCTTGTGGGTATGTTTACTATTTATACTGCTGCTTTTGTTGCTAAATGATTATTTTGGATCTTATTTTCTCCCTTCAGCCTAGAGAAGCAAAAGCAGAACCCATAAACACACCTCCAACCCCATCCCCTCCTTCAGAGGAAGCAGAACTTTCTGGTGAACCAGTGCCTGAGGAGACCCCAGAATCCACCAACTTGAGTGTCGCTGTGCACAGCTTCTTTGAGCAAGGCAAGTCCATGGGAGACGTCATAGGTAATGGCCTTCCCGTGAGTGTTCCTGTGTGACCAGCCCGAGGGATGTGTGTGACCTGCAGCAGCTCAGTCCTTTTGAGGAAGGAATTACACTCATCTCTATTTACAGACAAGACTAGGAAATCAAGTGACAGAGCTCTTAGGCTCTACTGGCTGCTACGGAGCTGGTTTCTGGTTCATGGTTATGTCCGTGCACGGGGGGAGCAGACTGATGTGACCCTTGCGGTTTACAGTGACTGATCTGTGGAATCAGACTGCCAGGTGTCTGTTAGTGTGGATGCACTGCTGAAGCCCGTTCAGTCTCAAAGCAACACTCTGCTTCCACTGATGTGGTAGTGGCTGTGCTCTAGGTGTTTTAACTGGGTGTAGGTCCCAGCTCTCTTCCAGGGAACACCACTGCTGCCCTCTGCTTGGTGGTCCTAGCCACTGTTACGGGTGGGAAACCATCACTTGGAAAGGTGAAGTGATGTGTCCACACTTCACACAACCAGTGATCTGACCGTAGAGTCCCCACTGTCTCCAGCCTCTGCTGCCAAGTCCTGATTCTCAAAGTCACCAGAACTACTTGTGTTGGGCTTGTGGGAATCCGAAGTCAGAAAGGGATGAGGCTGCTGAGGCCACCCAGCAGGCCAGTGGCAGGCCAAGGTGGGAGTGCTGGCCTCCTCACTGCTCATCCAGGCTGCTCCCCCTACTCCTGGCTCCTCCTCCTGTGAAGAGGCGGCCCTGGTAAGAGCCCAGGATCCGAGTCTGTTCCCAGACAGGAGCTTGTCATTGTGACTGGCCTGTCCTATCTGCCCTTTGTCAGAGAGGCAAGACTACAGCCAGTACCAGATTTAGGAACAAAGTCACTTCGAGCGGCACCTCTAGCTCCTCACAACAAGAGCATCTCAAAGCACCTGTAGTAGGAACTGGCTGAGCAAATTCTATTTTGCTCATACGTACAAAGCCCTAAAGTTGATAATGTGGAAGAATATTTAATGACCGTGGAAACCATTCAAGATCTATGCCACAAAAAGATAGAATTTAAGACTTCTTGCTATGACTTTAACATTATATAGGATTTATACCTATTTAAATAGGATCCCTGGTATCACAGTGAATGGAGTGTTGGGCTGTTAACCAGAAGGTCAGTGGTTCAAACCCACCAGCCCTTTGTGGGTGAAAGATGAGGCAGTCTGCTTCCCTAAAAGGTTTACAGACTTGGAAACCCAAAGGGACAATTCTACTCTGTCTTCAGGCCATTACGAGTTAGAATCAGTTCAATGGCTGCTTATATCCTTGGCTTCTAAGTTTGGTGGTTTGAACCCACACCTGGTGGTCTGCTTCCGTAAAGATTACAGCCTAGGAAATGCTTTAAGAATGCTCTGGTCTCTTCAATTAGGTCACCAAGTCAGAACATACTCAATGGCACATGGTAACAACATGCAGAGTGAGGAAGAAAGGCCTGGTGATTGACTCCTGAAAAATCTATGCAGCACATTTCTACCCCGAAACATATGGTCATGTCACTGGAAGTCAAAACTGACTCAATGGGAACTTTTTTTAAAAACAGCGAGTGATGTGTTCGTGTGTATATTGTGTGAATGTGCATTTTTTTCTATTTCCAACTTCTTCTTATTATTATTATTAATGTTAATGAAAATTTACAGAGATTTTGGATTTCCATTCATTCATTATTGTGCTTTTCTCCCTACCCATCCCCTCCCCCCAATTCGCTCCTTCTCTTTGAAAAGTAAAAGAAAAATTCTTTCCTTGTTATACAATCCCTCCCCCCAAGTCCACTCCACTATGCAGCCTTTGTTCTGGACTCATGTCATGACAATAATACCTAATCATATATACCCTTTAAATAGTGAATGTGCATTTTAAAGTAATAAAACCCTAATATATAAGGACATTATCAATGGATAGTAGGGCTATGGGTAATTTTATTTTCTTTTATACATTCTGTGTTTTAGAAATCTCCCGTAACAGTTTATCATTATTATTATTGTTTCTTTCATTAGTAAGTGAATACTATTTTAAAATCTAAATTTAGGTAGCCCAGGAGAGAGATGCTGTACACTGCTGAGAAGAAGAATATTTATAATAATGTAATGAAGACATAATAAAACCAAGAAGTTAGGCCATTGCTGTGAGAAGACCGTTGGATGGTGGCCCTGCCCAGCCACCTACTGCTGGGGCAAACTGCTTAGCTTTTCCCAATTCTGGATACCTTAGCTTTCCTCTGGAAATGCTCCCAAATTTCTCCTCCTGGGTTGATGAGTGGATTGGATGTGACCCGGATGTAGAAGTGGTTTATAAATTTTGAGAGCTGTTCTAAAGGGTAGGACTGAGATCTCTGAGAACCAGGCTAGCAGCTAGCAGAGGCCAGGGACCTTGAGGCTCTGCCTTCCCCAGGCATGTCCCCCAAGGCTCTGCCTTTCCCAGGCATGCTCCCCAAGGCTCTGCCTTCCTCAGGGATGTCTAGGGATGTCCCTCAACGCTCTGCCTTTCCTAGCCGTGCATGCAAAACAAACAAACAAAACAAAAAACCAAACAACAAAAGAGATGCAAATGGGGGCTGGTACCCAGATACTAGCCTGCCTGTTCCCTGGGTTCAGATCAAAGGCTAAGCAGAAATAATCTGGTCAACTAAGATGTTCCTTTTCTTCTTGTTGGATACACAGTCCAGATGATGGAGGAAAGGCGCTGAGTTGCCTCTGGGTTTGGAAAGCCCCTAATCTCTCCATTTCAAACTTTCCTGACACCATGTCAACCCCAGCAGCATGCCTCTCCACCCCACGTGCTGGAGCTAGGAATTGCTGACAGAGGATCCCACCAGCTGCTTGTACAGCACCCCCTGGTGGTCAATATGGGATGACGCATGTGCGTGGTGAGGGCTGTCCACTTGTGAACAACGATCCATTGAAGCGTGCAAGTGGGTGCAGAGTCACTCGGGGAGGTCAGCACCCTACACCTGACACTGTCAGGGGCCATGCATGAGCACAGCTTGCATAGAGAAGCTCCAGGATTGGGACAGGCTGCCTGCCTTCAGGGCCAGGCCACTGAAATGGTAATAATATGTCAATGTGCACATCAGAGAAGACTCATCCTGGCTTTGCCCATTGTCCACAAGGGTTGTCAGATTAGTTCTTGTAGGTGAGACAGACGCCTGGTGGAAGGGCTAAACTAGAGAGTGCCCGAACAGGCTTAGCCCATAACAGACATGTATTTGCACCAATATATTCCCCCCCACTTTGTGCTTTTTTAAAATTTTCCTTTTTTAATGAATTTTTGTGAAAGTTTACAGAGACTTAGGGTTTCCATTTATTCACTGTTGCCCTTTTCTCCCTGTCAACCCCCTCCCCCCATTCGCTCTTCTCTTTGAAAAGTAAAATTCTTTCCTTGTTATACAATCCTTCCCCTCAAATCCACTCCTCTGTTCAGCCTCCATTCTGGACTCCTGTCATGACAATAATACCTAATCATATATCCCTTTTATACCGTTCTCTCCCTCATCTGTTTCAATGCAGTATACTTTATTTATCCCATCTTTCTCAGTCTTCCCTCAACCTCAATGTCAGTTCCATTTTCCAACAGTGGCCTTTTGTGACTGAGATATTTAACTCAGCATGATGTCTTCCAGGGCCACCCATTTTGTATAATATTTCATTAGTTCCTTGTTTTTTCAGTGCAGCATAGTATTCCATCTTGTGATATACCAGAGTTTCTCTATCCATTCGTTTGTTGATTGGCACTTGGGTTGTTTCCAACTGTTTGCTATAGTGAACAAAGCCGCAATAAACATGAGTGTGTCCCCCTTTGTTTTAGGACTGTATCCATTTGGTAAGTTATAAAAGGAATGCACACTCGCAGCATAAATTCAATTTGTGTTGTGTTGCTTCAGTAAAAAAAAAAAGGCAAAGATTCCCCTACTTCCTCCACTTCTAACCTTTGGAGGCAAAACTGATATTAAGCATTGGGCTTATATACATAATAAATTACATGCAATAAGTTATGGCAGTCACATACAGAGCTACATTGACAGTAATACACCCTAACCCTCATTTAGCCACAGGGTGAGGTTTCAAAGGCAAAGATGTTATGTGAATGATGGCATTTGCAAAAGTGGAGAGTGTCCATGTGAGATCACAAAGTGAAGGATGACTGTATAATTGTGTAATTGCAAAATTACATTGTTACAGAACTGCCAAGTTATACCACCGCATAACTGCCAAATTATATAATTATATAACTGACAAACTGGTCTGTGCATTGCTGTACAGAGGTAACTCGTGGTTGCTGTGATGCTGAAGACTGTGATGCTGATGTGCCAATCGTGGTAATGGGCACCCACGGTGGACAGCATTGCCTGGAGCTTCCTGGCTAAATCAAGCCTGGAAGCAGGAGCGGCATCCACTTCCGAAATGGCTTGCCTCCGGAAACTCTATGTACGAACAGTGCTCAGGCCATTCGTTCATAGGGTCACTATGAGTCGTCTACGACTCGAAGTCAACAAACAACAATAACAATAAGAAGTACTAAATTACACCATTGCAGGATTGCCAGTTACATCCTTATGTAACTACCAAATTACATCATTGCATAACTGCCAAATTACATTGTCATGTAACTGCCAAATTACATCATTGCAGAGCTGTCAAACCCCTAAGACTCACAGCCCAGCCAAGCTGACGCACAATTTTAACTATTGCAATGTTATTCTCACCTGTACATTAATGTTGCCAGGTTTGTGTCATCAATGTACAAAATAATTCACTTTTTTACTATTGTTTATAAATGGGAAATGTTAGTAACAAGATGGTCAGTACGTGAGGAGTTTGTTAGCTATGTGCCATTGAGTCAGATCTGAACTGGTTTTCAGAGACAGTAAATTATGCAGGAGATTGCCCATGTTTCTCCTACGGAGCAGCTCGTAGACTAGAACTGCATGCCTTTGGGCTTGCAACACAGCTCCTTACCACTAGGCACAAAAGTAGCTGTAGAGAATTAAGTAGTCTATTGGTTGCTACATGTCAGGATCTGTTCTCCATGTCTTTGCTGAGTTGATCTGTTTGATCCTTATTACACATAATCTGCATAACCCCTAGTGAGGTCGGCGTCATTATTATTCCCTTTCATAAACGAGGAACCTGAGCTCAGGTGAAGTGATTTCCCACAAGTCACGCTCCTCGTAAGCGGCACAGTGGGATTCAAGCCCTGCAGTGGGGGCCGGAGCCCATCTGTAGTCTGAACTACCAGTGATACTGCCTTTCTGCGTGTGCTTTTCTGCAACTTGTTCACCCACCCCCACCCTGTTAATCCTGCACTATGAACATCTTTCCAGCCAATAGGTGAAGAGATACCACATTCTTGTTCAAGAACGAGGTTACTGACTACAGAATGCCTGCTTTCTGTAGGGTCTGGGGACATCCTGAATGACACACTGGAGGGCATTCACACTGTGGATGATGGACTCATAACAGACGGTGGCTCGGGGGATGGAACCTTTCCTAGTGTCATAAACCAGGTGAGCAAAATCAGTAGTACATAGTAGTTCATCTGCTAAATCAGTTATACATGGTTGCTTATTTCAAACTTGATGGAGTTGTGGTGGCCTAGTGGTAAGAAACTCTGGTGCAATCTCAAAGGCACGCAATTTGAATCTGTCAGCTTCTCTGCAGAAGGATGGACCATCTCCTCCTGTGCATTTTACAGCCTCTGAAAACCCACTGGAGGGTCAGCTATGGGTTGGTTCTGACTCAACAGCACAGCAAAGGAGTTTTAGTTAGAAGGCATGTAGGCTTCTTCCTCCTTGTGGGGCAGAAGCGGAGAGCCCCTGGGCCCCAGAGGCGCGGGGATGTCCAGGACGGGAAGAGGGGATGCAGAACCAGCTAGTCTCACTGACCCACGGGCCCTCTCCGCTCTCTCTGGCAACCACTTCCCTTCTCTCAGTTGTGAAGATGCCACCGCCTCTTCAGCCACCTTGAGCCCTTTCAATTCAGAATCACATTAACTGCGGGTGTCCCTGTTTGCTAATTGGCTTTGACACCTGAAAGGCTAAGTTTTGAAATGCTGGACACAGTGAGGTGCACAATTCAAGTACCCATGCAAGTGTGCTTTTCTCACAGTGGCCCTTGCTAACAGTCCATAGATTCAGCTCCTTCTTCCCTGTCTCATGATGGAAACGTAGTTCACGTGGCTCCCTAGGTCACTATCAGATAAGAATTTATTTCCACAGCTATTTTAAAAGTCTAACTCAGACCAGGATAATATAAAAATTCAACAAAAATGCAAATCCAGCTCCTCTACTCCTGTCCTCAGGCCTGAGACAGGCCAGGAACCCACAGCGGAGGGGTGAAGGCATGGTGTGAAGGAGTGTTCTTTTTTTGTTTGGTTGGTTGGTTTTGGTTTGGGTTGTTGGGGGTTTTTTTGTTGGGTTTTTTCTCTCTCTCTCTCTGTGTGTGTGTGTGTGTGTGTGTGTGTGTGTTCTTTCTAATGTCCTGCTCCTTTCGTCCCTCTTCACAGCCACCCCCACCCACCATAGCATCTGTGTTTAACACGTTCAGGTCTTGTCTACCTGAAGATGGATCGGGGAAAGCCACAGTTGTATGAGCTGGTTAAAATTGTCATCTGGTCTTTTTGTGTAGAAGGGAGCAGATGGCTGGAACATTCTCTCATGGGCTTTTGCAACTTCTTGGATGTTGCTCTAATTCAGGATCTAGGATTATATGTCCACTGTTGACCTTTCAACTTCTGCCTGGGTTTCCACCCTGCTGTAGATGGCTTTGGCCTTTCAGATGGCTAAGATGGTCCTCTGGAGCAAAGTTCATTTCAAGACGACTTTTGCTGCATGTTTGATGGAGTCATGTCCTGACTATCCCAGTAGAATGACAGCTGGGCAGATATTCTCGTTCTCAGCTCTGAACCTGCGTGTCTTGGTGATGTGGCTCACAATGCTTTGTTTCAGGATTTGCATTCTGAAGAAGGTTCAACGGCAACAACAGCAGCTGGGGAGACAGAGGGGCCCGTCAACACCACCTGGGAAGCAGAGACTGGCAGTGTGTCCCCTGAGGGACCAGTCCTCTCCATGTCCACCGAGAAGCCTGGGGCATGGATCACTCCAGTAAGTAGCATAGAGTGTACAATCCACCTCCCCAACTCCTGGGGTTGTGGGGGTGACTCTTGTATGTAAATGGTCCCTGGTCTTCCTCATCAGACATGCAGATGATATCCTCTGTGGATCCGAATCTCAGGGACCAGGGACCAGGGAGGCAGAGGCACAGCTGGACTTGTTGAGAACTGGCTGGGGAGCACTGTGCTGTGTTGCGCACCAGGCCAGCTCATAGACACAGAGGGGATACCAATTAGATGAAGACCGTGGGGTCAGAGGAGTAAGTGCCAATAGAAGAAAAAGGAACATTCTGGAAGCACAGAAAATGGGTCCGTGTACCAGCATTGAAGACAAGGAAGCCCTAGGAAGATTCTGTAGATGAGACCAAGAGGTGGAGCTTTAGGATAAAGGTCAGGAAGCAGGTGGATCATGGCACAAGAGTAAAGACCTGGGTGATAGAGATCAGCTGATAATGATCTATAACAAAACATTCAGCATGGGACATGTGTCAACCTGGACGAGAGAGAACTGAGGATAATGTCTAGCAGTACTTAGCAGAAATAGGAGCCACTGAAGGGTATTGAACAAGGAAGAATTTTAGCAAGATCACCTGACTATTGAGGGAAGAGGGATGGGGAAGCCCTGAGACTGGGGAAGAGTAGGAGGGCGTGTCTTTGGTTTCATTTGCTTTCGTTTGCTTTCATGAGGGCTCTGGTAGTACAACAGATAAGTGATTGGCTGCTAACTGGATGGTTGGTAGTTTGAGTTCAGTCAGTGGCTGTGAATGAGAAAGCTCTGGTGTTCTATCCCCATGAAGATTACAGCCTAGAAATCCCTGTGGGCCAGTTCCACTCTGTCACATGGGATCACTGAGTTGAAATCGACTCCACAGCACTTAACTACAAGGATCCTGATCAATGGTATCGGATGCTGCCAAAGTGCTAATGAGATAAGAACCAGAAAGTGTCCATTTGATTTGTAAACCTGACTAGCAGTGATCATGGGGAGAGGGATTTTAAGCACATGGGAGGGCTGGAAGCCTGATTATACTGAGGAGACAGTGAGGTGAGGCAGTCAATGAACATAGACAGCTCCTAAGAAGAATGTACCGAGTCTGATGACCTGGTTTTTAATCAAAACACAAAAGCATAGGCCCTCAGAAAAGGCCCCACTATCAGGAGTGTGGCCAGATAGCGGAAGAGCCTGCTGGTAAGCACCACAGGTTGGCAGGTAGGAGCTGAGTGAAGCTCTCTGTTGGATGCTGAAGCTAGGATGCTCATACCATGGATGGTGTCCAAGAGCCCTGGTTTCTGCATTGATGCTACTACACTGGGGCTTTTTGCAAGGTGGGGGGCTTGGATGTGCAAGTGCTTTGGAAATGAGGGAGCAGCAGGTAAGATCAGCTCTGCAAGCACAGGCACACAGAACAAGGTGGTGGCCCCAGTGGCAAGATCCCTCATGATGCCTTTCTTTCCAGAATCCAGAGAATGAGGAAAGTTTAACAGTATCAGCAACAGGGGAGGCCGAGGTGCCTGTCAGCCGTGTTGGGGAAGTAGAGACTGCCAGTGTGACTTCCCAGGAGCCCACCATCTCCATGTTCTCCGAGAACCCACGGGAAGGGACTACTCTGGTGAGAAGCGTTAAGGGCTGGGAGGTGCAGGTTGTGGCTGGGAGCAGCCACGACCTTCATCCTTGACAAATGGTGGGACCATTCAGCCAGGGCAGGTCAACAACATTAACCTTGAGATCATTCATACCCGGGCTCTGGCCAGGCAGCCTTCGGCCTCTGGTCTGTGTCCATCTGGGGATGTTACAGTGAGGAGGGTGCACCTGGCCAGCTGTCCAGCCCACAGAGCTCACTAGGTCACCTGGCTTAATTAGCAGCATGGTTCGTGTCAGTGTCTTCATTGGTGTCTTCATTCTCAATGTCATTGTCATCTTCCTCTTCTCTCCTTCCCCTTCCCCCATCCTCCATGTCCTCTTGCTCCTTCTCTTTCTCTTCTTCCTTTTCTCCTTCCTTCCCTTCTCCTCATCTTCCTCCTTTTCTTCCCTCTCCTTTTCTCCTCCTCCTCTTCCTCCTCCTTCTCCTTTTCTTCCTCTACCTCCCTCTCTTCCTCTTCCCCTCCTTTCTCTCCCTCTTCCTCTTCCCCCCTCCCTTTTCCCATTCCCCCATCATCCTCCCTCTTTAATGACACAGTACTCCTCACAGGGTGGGAAAACCAGAGCCCAGGTCCCTGAAGTCTTCACTCATTAGAAACCAGACTCTGACAAGCAGCTGTGTGAAAATAGAAGTGGAAGTAGTGAGCTCTCAGATTCTGGAAATGCTCAAGCTAAGACCAGAAAAGCAATTAGTGGAGATGTCCTAGCGGGACTTGGGGGTCTTGGATGGGAAGTGCTGAGAGGTGTATCCTAACCGCTGGAGTGTGTGGGGCTAAGCTGGGTCTTAGGTGAGCAATGGAGGGAGAGCTGTGAAGAGGCCGATTACCTGGTGAGCCTTCCTGCATCCACGCGGCCACTGACCCAGAGGTGACTTGGAGGTGGGACAGTCCTGCATGTCAGTTTTATTTCAGGGCCCTGATGGGGAAGAAAGCTGGACAACAGCTACAGCTACCAAGGAATTACCACTCAGTACCGGTGAAGAGGACATCGACGGGGTCCCCACAGAGGGCCTGGCCCTCCTCACTCCCACACCAGCCCCTGGCCAAGGGGATACTTTGGTAAGTGGCACTTGATGCTCTCGCTGCCTTGGCCTGGCTCATAGGGGAGGGGTCAGAGCCATGGGGCAGAGAAGTCACTGCCCTTCACGGAGACATTGACCTTCATGGTGGGTGAATAGCAGGGTGGGCTCCACCTCAAATGTAGCAAAATGTGATGGAGGGAGCAGGTCCCAGGAGATCAGGGGCTGGCTTTGTCCTAACCATTCTTCCTTCTAACTTCATCCAAGAACCTTCCAGAAGCAGAGTGGCCCAATGCTGGGAGGGACTGCTGAGGAAACCTCAAGCCCTCACCGCTTGGTGTGGGGAGGGGACCTCAGAGGACATGTGTATCTCAGCAAGGGTGGAGTGTGTGTGGATCTGCGATTCTGTGAATATGTGGGTTAGAAGTGTTTTGACATTGGGCTGGTAACATAGAAGTGACAATTCTTCTGTGTCCCTGGCCTCTGTTCTTCAGAATTGACTCTACAGCAGTGAGTTTGGGTTCAAGTTTGGGTTTAGCAGTTAATGCCCATCTGTCCTGTGGACGAGGTGCCCCATTCTTGTGCTGGTCGCCTTCCTAGGGTCCTGGCCATGAAGCAGCAGAGGTATCAGCAGCGACAGAGGAGCCCGTTACCACCACTCGGGGAGAAGAGTCTGGAAGTGCGCCCCCTGGTGTCTCTCCGCTCCCTGTACCCACAGTGTCTCCTGTGAGAACAGTCACCCCTGTAAGTGGTATAAAAATTTGCATTAGATTCTTACAGGGGAAATAAAAAAAAAGGCCAGAACTGTAGGGTGCGGGGTGGGTCTGCTCTGGCTTGCAGAATGTGGAATTTAGACATTTTGAGGATCTTTGGTGAGAACACTCAAGAAATTTGCAATTTGTAGAGAAAGAAAATACTGAATTTAGATGTTTTGAGGACCTCTGATGAGAACACTCAAAGAACTTGAAATTTGAAGAGCAAAAAAGGACAAGCTAAGAGACTTGAATTTGTGTCCTACAGTCCTGCCTCTTTAATTGGCATGAGAACTTTCTAGCAGCAAGATTGTCCAAAGATTGTTCAAAGATTGTTCAAAGTCCCCTTCCTGGAAGAGTGAAAGCAGATTGAACCTGGCCAAGGCTGTAGACAGAACAAGAGCATCCAGAATGTGTGCAGAAATGAGACCACTACAAACAAGTGTCTGTGCTCCTCAGCCACAGCTAAACAACCTAAAGCAGATTTTTCTTTGCTTTGGGCCTTGGTTTGCTCATCTGTAAAAAGGGCAGCTATAAAATGAACATGTAGGGTGCCCTCTGGAGAGCTCAGCACACACAGGGTTGTCCCAGCAGTAAGTGCTGTCACTGTGCCTTTCTGAAATAGGAACCTCAGACCTGGTTCACAATGTGAATTTGTGTGAACTAGAGGTTGAAATTGCTCTTCAAATATGAATATTTTTAAAGGAAAACATTCCATTGGGCCTATTAGGTTTCTAAACAGCACTTGGTCACACTCAATTTGAAAGCCGTGACTCCAGCTACTGGCATGTGGTCTGTTAGCCACATGGCTCCATGACTTGCCAGAGAGAGGAATGCTGTGGGTTGGGAGGCCAGAGACTTCAGGGTGCCTGTTGCTCAGAACCCTCTTTCAATGAGAGGTCCAGTGGTTGTTTCATTATGTGCTTGTGCCATTCTTTACTGTCTCCTTATTTAAAGTCATCCACGTGTTTGTGGTGTGGTTTGATTTGACACCCATCATCAACTCAGGGCTCTCTGTCCAGACACTTGGAGCTAGAAATGGGTCTGACCTAGTTCCTGCCCCCAAGGAGCTCACAAAGTGGGCCATCAACTCAGTCTTCAGTCCAGGTTTTCGTCTGGACACATGGAGATAGATGAATATGACCTAGTTACTGCTCCCAGGAACTCACAGTCAAAGTAGGACAGGAAATACTCTGTGATCTACATTTATTAATCACTATGTGCTCCAAATTTGTCTAATTCGATCACACCTCAACTCCCTGGAGTAAGGGGAATGAGCACCATTTATTTGACAGGTGAGGGAAATGAGACAAGGAGGTGAAGTCATCTGCTCACTGGTGCATCCCTCCAAGAGGCTGATGCATGAGCCTTATGCTCTCGAGAGCATCTCCTGCATGAGAGCTGGTGTGGTGGGAAGGCTCTGCACTGGAGCCAAGAAGCTGAGGTTCTGCTTTCCAGGATGCTACTGACTCAGAGTGATTCCAGAGCCTCAGTGTCACCATCTCTAGGAAGGAGACGGACAGGAGTTCTGGTTTTTAACCCTAGAAGCATATTATAGACACCTGGGAAGCTTAAAATAGCACAGATGTCTGAGTTCCGTCCCAGACCAAGTAAGTGGGACACTGGCGCTGGGACTCCACTCGCAGGTGATTCAATGGCAGTCTGTTCTTGGTTCCCCTGGTGCTAGCTCTGTGCCTGTGACCCTTGGGACACATTGTGACTTCTGAAACTAAGACCCCCCCCCTTTTTGTTTGCTCCTCTCTCCAAGATATATTATGTGCAAAACACCACCAACAAATCTCCCCCTATTGTTGCAGCAGAGGCTGGAAACATACCTTTTATTGCTGTTGCTGCTGTTGTTAGGTGCTGTTGAGTCCACTACAACTCATAGTGACCCTCTGTGCAGCATATCTGAACTTGACCCTAACCTGCACCTGCACTATCCTCACAATCTCTGATAGGGTTGAGTCCATTGCTAAAGTCACAGCACAATTCCATCACATTGAGGGTCTTCCTCTCTTTCACAGACCACCTACCTTTCCCAGCATGATATCTCTCCAAGGATTGGTCCCTCCTGACAACCTACCCAAAGTATGTGAGATGATGTTTCACCAGCCTGCCTCCAAGGAGCACTCTGGCTGCACTTTTTCCTAGATGTACCTTTTTGTTCTTCTAGCAGTCCATGGGATAGCCAATACTCTTCTCCAACCCCATAATTCAAAGCCAACGATTCTTCTCTCATCCATCCTTTCTCATTGTCCAACTTTCAGATGCACAGGAAGCAATTGAAAATAACATTAGCATTTTTAGTATTTTAGTATAAAACATGTTTTAGGGAGCTCTGGTGGCCTAGTGGCAAGAAGCTTCACTGCAATCCCAGAGGTACATAGTTCGAATCCACCAGATGCTCTGTTGGAGAAGGAGGGGCAGTCTCCTCCTTTACCAGTCAGATTCGATTTGACGGCACGCACACGAAAAATAATAAAAAACATGTTTTAAGGAAGTACCAATTCACCATTTTTCCTTCTTTAACTTTGCATTATAGCAATTCTAAAAAAATACACAGAAGGATTTGGCATAATAGATTCTCACACATCCATCACCTACTCCGATAAATTGTCAAAATTTTGTCAATCTTGGTTTATCTATTCTACCTCTCACCACTCTTTTTTAGAGGAGAGAGGCAAGCTCTGGAATAGTTAAAAATAAGTGCAATATATCATATTCTTTTTCTTGCATGTTGCTAATAGAGTGATCTGGGGCCTTCTACATCCCTTCCACTCCCAACACATATACCAAGTCATTATCCCTCTAAGAAAATTAGCAAAAGTTCCTTCAGATCAAGGGAGCCCTTCGTGGTGCCTGGTTAAGCATTAAACTAAAGGTTGAGCATTCTAACCCACGAGCTCTTCTATAGGAGAGAGATGTGGCTGTCAGCTTCTGTAAAATCCCATCCCAAATCTTCGGGGCAGTTCTACTCTGTTGATAGGACTGCTGGGGTTCAGAATTGACTGTATAATATTAAGTTTGTTTTCAGTCCTTCAAGTCATTTAACACCCAAATACTTAGGGTTGTTTTGGTTTTTTTGGTATTTAAAAAAAAATACCTTATTATACTTGTTTTGATTCTGAATCCAAACAAGTTCTACACATTGCATGTCACTGGTATGTCTCTTAAGTCTTTCAATCTAGAATTGTCTCCCACCTTTTTCTCTTTTGTCATTTATTTGTTGAAGAAACTGGGTCAGTCATCCTTAGACCTGTTAGCTTTATTTTCTGCTCTGAGAAATTGGCTCTGGGTAAGGACCCAGCTGTGCTGGTGGGAGTAGAAATGGATTTAGTCTTTCTGGAACACTCTTTGTTGCCAAATATTAACAACTTTAAAACTACATATTAAAAAAAAAACACCCCTACATATTATTGTCCCCAGAAACTTCTATTCTAGGAATTGATTCTAAAGGGGATAGTTTAATATGCAAAAACCTCCGTGTACGACTATTGTCTATAATAGAGAAAATTTGAGCATAATTTAGCTAAACAATTGAGGGATTAGTTGAATTAAAGTATAGCCAAACAATGAAATATTATGCATCTATTAAAATTATGTTTCTTAGAAGTAGATGATGATGGGAGAAAAATGCTTACCATACAATGTGGAGTGAAAAAAGCTGGTTGTGGGCTTGAGTATCTTGTGTGGTCTTGACTATTTCAAAATATGCCTATGGACAAAGACTAGAAGGAAATACCCTCATGTTAACTGCTGTTGCTGCAGAGTGGTAGAACTGTGGGTGGTTTTTAGGATCTTACTGCATTGTGGTGCTTTCCACCTTGGGACTTATGAGATTTTCAGAAATTCAAGGAAGAGAAAATTAGACAGAATACACACATACAATATTTTGTCAGTTCATCTTGGAGCAAAACCAATGAAGAGACATCTCTAATTAAGTGCCTTTTCCGGGAACTTTTGGTGACATGTAAACCCTAAATCCTGAGCCGATGGTTTAAAAGCACAATCAAAACAATACAGAGAGGGTCCAGTGCTGAACGTTAGGTGACCTTGAATCCCAGGGTCTCCCAAAGATGTCAAGCATAATGGGTGAGACTAGAGTCCAAGCCCGGCTTTGCTGCAACCAAATTTTTTCACTGTCTTGGTTTATACATGCATAAAATGGTTATCAAAATCCTAATACCTAATTACCTAATGTTGGGCAGTTGTGAGGATTAATTAAGTGAATTTGTGGAAAACATGAATACTTAGTTTGCTCAGTAAATTGTTGTTATGAGGTGCCATTGAGTTGGGCCCGATTCACAGTGACAACAGAGCTGACCCTTGCCCTATCCAGCCCCAAGGTCATGATCGCTGAGGTGCTTGAACGCATTGGAACTGACCCTGTGTATGTCCATCTTGTTGAGAATCTTCTTTCCTTTCTCTGACCCTCCATTTTTCCAAACATCATGTCTTTTTTCAAGGATTGGCCCCTTCCAACAACGTGCCCGGAAGTATGTGAGATGAAGTTTCACCATCCTTAATTCTAAGTGTCTTGCCTCTAAAGATCACCCTAGGAACCCTTCCTCCAAGACAGACTATTCTTTTGGTGATCCACAGGGTACTCAGTACTCTTCACCAGCACCACAACTAAGCCGCGGCTTGGGTCAGGCACGCCTTAGTCTTTAAACTGACATACTTGCTATCTAGCAATTTGAAGAGGTCCTTGACAGTAGATTTACCCAGTGCAGCATATCTTTTGATTTCTTGACTGATGGGACCAAAGAAGTTGATTGTGGATGCAAGAAAAAGAAAATTGTTGGCAACTTGAAACTTTTCTCCGCCAATCATGATGTTGCCCAGTGGTGAAGTTTTTGTTTTCTTCATATTGAAATGTAATCCTTATTAAAAGCTCTAGCATTCTATTTTCTGCAGCAAATGCTTTAAGTCCTCTTCACTTTCAACAAGCAAGATTGTATCATCTGTATAAAGAAGGTTGTTGCCTGTTCTCCCTCCAATCCTGATACCACATTCTTCTTCACAGATGAGTCAATGAATTTGGTATAGAAAATTCCTCCTTAGCTTGCAGTTGAAGTCCAGGGCTTTGCTTAAGATCTCATAGCTCCCAAGGGGTCAGTTATGGGTAAGTCCTGGTCTGTAGATGGTCTGCCCTTGCTCTTTGCACCGTCCACAGCCATCATTTTCAGACATGAACAAGACGTTGGTTATTAAAACCCACAGAGGTCCAAATGAGGCCTTCAACTTTTGAGGACAGTCTGTACCCAGCTAGTCCCTGGATCCTAAGTTCCCCATTCTTAAGGCTATCTCGAAGTCAAAATTATAAGGAAGTGGAAACAGGTATGATTTGTGTCTGATGACAGCTTGTAAGAAATTGGGAAGGATAATTGCCCATCTTTCTTTCTTGGAGCCACTGTTGGAGTCGAGCCACCTGAACGGTGTATTCTTCAGGTTAGCAGTGCAACTCCGCGTTAGTGTAGGGCTCCTTCTTAGTTTACAGTGTATCACACACCTTTCTATGCGTAAGAGGCCAGAATGAAGGCTGAATAATGGAGTGTACTGGGGGGAAGGGATTTTATACCAGTGAAATAATTTTTCTTTTACTTTTCAAAGAGAAGAGCAAACTGGGGTTGGGGGTGGGGGAAGGATAGACAGGGAGAAAAATGCAACAATGAATGAATGGAAATCAGTCAGTCTCTGTAAACATTCATTAAAATTAATTTTTAAAAAAACTACCAAAAAAATGGCATAAACACTTTCAGATAATCAGGGGGCGTAGAAAGTCAGGGCTCCCATGTTTAAATGAGATCACATGTTCTCCTGGCTCGCTCTGTGAAGAGCAGACCATTTATTTACTCCTGAGCCACTTTTGTCTTAAAGATAAGAGTTTCCAGTGAATGGAAAGGGAGCAGTGGATGGAGTGCCCCGTACTTCACTGGCCATTGTTTTTTTTTAGAGTGATGCTGGAGAAGGACTTTCTGGCTCCCCTGATCCTACTGAACCTACTGGACCCACAGTAAGTAAAACCCTCCCAGGCCTATCGCAGTTACAATGTTCAGGGGCCCTGAATGCAGCATAAACAGACATACACTGAAGATTCTTTTTAACGGCTGCTCCAGTGCCTTGCAGACAGGGCCCAGGGCTTTCACTCTGCCAGACTCTGCAGGTACTCAGGAGCAGAGTGTAACTTCCATCCTGTGTCCTGACTGGCCCATGCATTCCTCAAACTCAGCACGTCCCCAGGTGACGTCGACTTCCATGTCCGCAGACATGCTCCCCCTCCTGGGTTCCCAAGTCTGGCAAAGACACTAACCTCCCTGTCACCAAGAGAGATGCCAGGTGACCTTCCAAAGAGATCCCGCACATTCTTCCACCCCAAACCTACAGAGTCTGGCTGAGCAGTTTCCTCCTCAGCCTCATAACTGGCCTCGCGGCCCCCAGTGCAGCATCTCCCCCTTCCCATACACACACCACAGTGTGACCTCATTACGTGCAGTTATAGCCCTACACCTCAGCCTCTCATCGGCTACACAATACATATGTTTCCAATGCTTGCATTAGTTCTGTTTCCCATTTTCATTAATTAAATAGCAGAACGGTGCTTTGGAAATTCTCTTTTCTTCTTTGGGAGAATCTAATTCACTCAACAATTACGTGTGAATGTCTTCTTGAATCCAAATCTCATACTAGCCACTGCTTATCCAGAGGTGTCTCAGGATTGGGCCTCTTCTTAAGGAACCCTAGTTCCAGAGGGACCAGCAGGTACATGTAAAAACGAAACTGCAAGTCCAAGTCCAGACTTGGTTATGGCACCAAGTCAAGAAGTCAACAGTGGCTGCTGAGAACACAGAGGAAGAGGGATTAATTCCACCTGGAAATGGGATGGGGCAGTTTTATGAAGGAAGTGACTATGGCACTAGACCTTAAGGACAAGTTGAGTTTGGAAAGTCAGGAAAGAAGGCTGAGGACTGGGAGAAGGTGGTATGTGCGAGGACAGGCCGTGTGTCCACAGCATACCTTGGAAGGGTGATAGTGGCTGGAGAGAGCAGTCGGGGGAAAGACTGCAAAAAATTGGGAGGAGAGGTTGTGTATGAAAATGGAAAAATTTTCTATGAGCATGACTGCTCTTGGACAGTGACCATTGAAGCTAAGATATATAAGACTTTTTTTTTCTCTCTCTCTCTCTCTCTTTCTAGGTGGGAGCTGAAGCTGAGGGTTCGGGCCTGGACTGGAGCTCTGGTTTAGGCTCTGGCTCTGATGTCCTGGTGCCCAGTAAGGAGCTACTGAGAGTGAGTCTGATGAGTTACATGTTACACACAAAGTTCAGTGGTTCAAATCTTCCTGCTGCTCCACCAAGCTGCTCTGCAGGAGGAGTAAGATGGGAAGTCTCCTCCTGCTAAGATTTACAGCTTTGAAAACCCAATGGAAGGCCAATATGAGTGGCCTCGACTCCATGACAATGAGTTTTTTGTTTTATGATGGGTTCTAGGCACCTTAGTGTTGCAGTGGGTTAAGTGTTGGGCTGCAAACTGAAAGGTTGGTACTTTGAACCAAGTGTGCAGCCAGGGAAGATGAGGCGACCTGAAAGCAGTTCCACCTTGTCCTGCCTGCCTGGTTACTGTGAGTGGAAACAGACTCGACGGCAAAAGACTTGGTTTGGTTTGAGTTACGGTGCTCTGTGATCTGGTGTCCTGCGGAGTCATGAGGGAGACGGGACCATGGGGGTTGATCAGAGACAACACCTGATTGGCCATCACTGATAATTACTGAGGCTCGTAACTAGTTCTCAGGCTTCATTATATTTTTTTCCCCTCTGCTTTTTCACACACTTGCAATTTCTTGCTTTCCTGTTTTGAGTATGAGCCTGAGGTCATTTTCAGGACCTTCTCTTCTGTCCCTCTTTCCCTTCAGCCCTCTGAAACAGGCTCCCCTCAGCCACCTCCAGCAAGACGCCTTGATGGCTCCTCTACTGTCTGACCTTTGCCCCTTTCTCCTCTTACTCACTAGAGACCTCTGGTTAACATTTCACACCTTAGCTTCCAGACTTTTCTTTCAATCTCCCCCACTCCCAGGCTACACCCCTACTCTGAGATCTCTCCATTAACTGCTCCCATTTTTCCTCCTCAGCACTTCCTGCCTCCTTGGGCCCTGCCCAAGCCTGGGACTCCATTGGCCTTTCTCTAAGTTACCCTGGAAAGGACTCCTCCCTTCTCTGTGATAGCTGACACCTCTATCCTCAGGGCCCCAACCTCATCTCCAGGCCACCTGTGCTGAATCCTCATTTAGAAGGTTCCATTGAGCTGCCCCTCTGCCTACTTCTCATTACCAGGCTTGAAAGGCTCTGGTCTCAAGTCACATTAGGTGAATGGACCAGGAAACTTAATGGAGCCTCCAGGCCGATGGCTAGAACGGAGAAAGAGGCTAATAAGACATATATTTTGGGAAGGCTTTTAACAAAGCTTTTAACAACAGGTAGTTTTCATTTGAACTCCTCAGTCTATTGGGATTGTTACTGTTAAGTGCCTTTGAGTCAACTACTACTCATAGCGACCCGTGAACAATGGATCTGAGCCCCCCTGCCCTGTCCAGTGCCATCGTCACCATCTCTGATGCTGGAGCTCACTGTTAGAGTAACTGTATCAATCCATCTGATTGAGGATCTTCCTCTCCTCTGCTGACCCTCCACTTCTCCAAGCATGATGCCCTTTTCCAAGCACAGGCCTCTCCTAACAACATGTCCAAAGTATGTGAGATGAAGTTTCACTAGGCAGAACACCTCTGTCCATTCTAACTAACTGGGTTTTTATTAGACACACATCTAATAAGAAATTATGCAATAATAGGGTCAGAAAGGTCTGGATTCAAGTGTCAGCTTTTCTATGGAGTAGCAGTATTAGTGTGAATTTTTTTTAGTAAGTCACATCACCTTACAGCCTCTGTTTCCATATACACAAAGTGAACTATCTGTTGTTCAGGATAGAGAGAATGTACAGAACATGTGTTCTCAGTAGGTGTTTATCCCTCCTCTCTCTGTCAGCACGTCTAACAGAATGTCCACTTTGCAGGGTCCCCCAGGCCCACCAGGCCCACCTGGCTCACCTGGGATTCCTGGAAAACCAGGAACTGATGTTTTCATGGGACCTCCTGGATCTCCCGGGGAGGATGGAGCTGCTGGGGAACCTGGGCCTCCGGTGAGTTTCTGAAGTCACCTCCTGTGACCTTCCTGTGGTCTGGGGCCTCCTGTAGCCAGGGATGAGCATGTGGACCGCTGGCCCCAGTGCTGGTGAAAGCGAGAGAGAGAGAAAGAGCAGCTCACTAATGTTTGTCAACAGAAATCTCCCTCAGTGACTCATGGGACTCCTGAGAAGTGGTACCAAGAGAAGCAGCATCCTACACACTGTTTTCCTGCTGTGTCTTAGTCAGCATAGGAAATACAGACCACGTAGGATGATGGGGACTAGGCTGGGAGATCCTGGAAGGCCAGCTAGTCCAACTGTCCAGGACTTCCCCATAGAATAGGAAACATGGCTCAGAGGGTGAAGGGCACTGGTCCAGAGGAGAAGAGCCAGCAGGGCCACACTGTGACTGGGGGCTGGCTTTCCTTGGACCTGGAACAAAGCACTGGACCCCTTCCCCTCATCCTGCCCATTGGATCTCCAAACCCTAGCCTCCTTTTTCTTTTCCATGAAGGGTTTGTCTGTTCTCCTTATCAGTGATGTTGTAGGCTGACTTGTTGTTGATATTCCCCAGGGCCCAGAAGGAAAGCCTGGACCTGATGGAGCCTCAGGCCAACCCGGGATGAAGGGCCAGAAGGTACTAAAAAAAAGTGGAGGGTCCTAATACCTGGGAGCCACTGGGCTCACACATCTTTCTGGCCTCCAGGGTTGAACTTGTCTCTGATAACGAATGTTCCCCCAACTCCCTGCTCATCTTCCCCACCTGTAGCCCTGTCACTGAGCTCATTGTGCCCAGACCTGAACTCAGCATCTTCTGTATGTTCCCCGCGTCAGAGAATGGCACTGCCTACCTGCTTACCTGCACTGCAAATCAGAGTCTTTCAGACTCCTTCCCCTGTCCCCTTTCCTACCAGAAGCAGCCACTTGCCAAGCTGCCACCCACAGCCCTCACTTCCTCTCAGCTTCAGCTGTGGCTCCTCACTGATGCCGCACTCTCTCCACCCATAATCCGTCCTTCACCTCTTCCTGTAGCAGGGCTCTCTCCAGGCACGGTCCTCTCCACTGAACATCACTGGCTCTTGCTACCCACAGGATATAAACCTAACTGTTGTTGCTGTTATGTGCCATCAAGTCACTTGCAACTCATAGTGACCGTATGCACTGAACCCTGCTCTATCCTGAGCCAACCTTATTGTTTCTGATACATCTACCCCCATTACCCCAGTCACTGAGTCAATTCATCTCATCCGGATCTGCCTCTCTTGCACTGTCCCTCCTCCCTCCCAGTATGATGTCCCTCTCCAAGGACTCGTCCCTCCTTGCAACATGATCAAAGTATGTCAGATGAAGCTTCAGAATCCTTGCCTCCATGGGGCAGCGTGGTTTCACCCTCTTGCAGTTCACGGTATATTCAATATTCTTCTCCGTCACCACAGCTCAAAGGCACTGATCCATCTTTGATCCTAGTCAATATCCAGCTTTCTGAAGCATAGCAAGTAACTGCAAAGACTATGACCTGGATCAGGTGCACCTTAGTCTCCAGACTGACATCATTGCTCTTCAGTACTTTGGAGTGGTCCCTGACAGCAGACTTTCCCAAAGCAATTTGTCTTTTGATTTCCTGGCTGCTGGTACCAAGATTTTGTTGATTAAGGAGCCAAGTAAAACATTTGTCATTTAGGTATTCTTTATATGGGCAACTTAATGGCATTAATTGTACTCATGTTGTGCAACTGTCATCATTCTCTACTTCCAACCTTTCCCTTCCATCTTCACAGAAGTATTGTGTCTTCTAAGCAATAAGACTCCTTTCTCTCTTCTCCTCCTCCCACCCTGCTGGCCACAAATAACTTACAAGCAGGGCTTGAGGGTCTTCCCGATCTGCACCAGCCTGCCTTTCCAGCCCATCTCCCATCTCTCCCTCACGTGACCTCCATGCCCACAAACCAGCCCAACCCAGATCCCCTGGGCTTGCCCTTCTTTTCCTGCCTCCTGGCCTGTGCACCAGTGTTCTCTATGTTTGGGATGCTCCTCCCTTGTGTCTTCCTCCAAGCCCCAGTGCAGGTATGTGCTCTGAGAAGCTCTCCTTAGCTACTACTGAGTAGGAAAGGAAGTATCCCTCCATCCTGCACTCTCTATCAGTACAGTATTTAGGCAGCTGGACCAAGATTAAAATCCTCACCACAGCACCAACAGGCAACATCATGATAGATGGTGAAAAGATTGAAGTTGTTAACAATTGCGTTTTCCTTGGATCCATAGTCAACACTCAGGGTAACAGCAGTCAAGAAACCTCCAGATGGATTGTGTGTGGGGCTCCGCTGTCAAGGACCTCTTTAACATGCTAAAGGGCATGGCATGAAGGACCTCTCGGACGTGCTAAAGGACATGGGTATCAGTCTAAAGCCCAAGGTGCTCCTCATCCAACCCAGGGTCTTTTCAAGTGCTTCCTGTGCATCTGAATGCTGGACAATGAGTAAGAACGACAGAAGAAGAAATAATGTTTGAATAGTGGTGGCGAAGAAGAGTGTTTAGTATTCCACAGACTGCCCAAAGAATAGGCAAATCCGTCTTGGAGGAGGTGCAACCAGGGTGCTCTTTAGAGGCGAGATGGTGACACTTCATCTCAAACAGTTTGGCCATGTTCTCAAGAGGGGGGCAGTCCTCGGGAAAAGACACCACGCCAAGGAAGGTAGAGGGCCAGAGAAAGGCCCTCAACAAGAGAAATCGACGCACTCACTCCTATCAATGGGTTTGAGAATGAATGGCTCAGGTTAGGGCAGAGTTCAGATCTGCTACTCATAGAGTTGCTACGAGGTGTAATTGACTTGACAGCAACAACAACGACCCCTCTTAGCCAACAACAACAAAGCTGTTCGCTTCCCTGTCTGCCCCCCACCGCAGCAAACATCGCACTATGGGACTGTCTGTGTGTCCTCAGAATGTCCATAAGCCTGTAGTAGCATTTGACGAACAAATGCAACTGCTCTGATAATAGACCTGCAATTCATCTGCAATCCCTGGGGTCACACCTCCCTTCATTTTCTGGGGCCTCTGTCTACAAGTCCTGAGCTGGAGCAGGGGGAAGCTGGGGTCAGAGTTCCCATCTGTAGGATGTCCCCAGCCTGGTGAAAAGATCGTCCATGGCCGTGAGAAAGGACAGTAAAGATTCAGTGAGCTTCACGGTACTGATAGAGCTGTGAGTTTGACTGGAATTCCGTGAGGGAGGATCCCAGCTGAGTGGGAGCTGGGGATCTGTATTCCCCAACTGCATGAAGACAAAAAGAACCCTTGCCTTCCCCAAGACGTTATCCTCTCATTGAACTGTATTTCCATTTCTGTCAGCTTCCGAGTGTGTTTGTTTTAATTGATACAATAACTTGATTTTCGTGGAAGATCATTTCTAAGAAAAAGAGGACAGAAACAATTATCAGGCTTGATTGAATTCATTTTATGTGCACCAACTGTTTCACCAGAAATTACATTTTGCAGGAAACATCACAGACCTACGCTTGTCTTGCCTGCTCTCCTTACCGACCACCCCTCCCTTCACGCCTCCCACACCCTTGGCTTTGAACTTAAAAGTACTCACACCCACATCCGCAGGCAGCCCACACACAGGTGCACTCGGGAGCTGCTTTGAGAACCAAGGGTGCCTTGTGTTGCTGGTTTGCCCAGGCTAACTGTAGGAAAGAAGTCATATGCAGGTCTATTGGATTCTATTGGAGTCTATTTGCTAGGAATCTCTGGTGGCCTCGTGGTAAGGAGTTGCACTGGCAACCCAAAGGTACATAGTGCAAATCCAGAAGCTACTCCTTGGGATTAAGATGGGCAATCTCCTCCCATGCAATTAACTGCCTCTGTAAAGCCGAGAAGTCAGATCCAACTTAATGGTAAACAAAAACAACATGATCTTTCTTCAGGAGATATTAGGTGGCACCTACAGTTCAGTGCCTAACTGCTAAGAAAAAAGTTGATGGTTCAGATCCACCCAGGGCAATGTTGGAAGAAAGGTCTGGCAAATCTGTTTCAGAATAGAAATATCCATTGGAAACTCAATGGCAAACAGACAAGAGCTCAGCATGGATCAGCGTCAACTCAGCAGCGATGGACTTGGTTGTTTTGTTGTTTAATGATGCTTTCTGGTCAAGTAAAAGCACCTTCTTGAAAGACTCTGAAATTTGCATCTTTTTCTATCAGAGAGCTTGAGGGAAAGCTTACACATGAGGTTGTAAAAATAAACAATGATGAAATAAACCAAAGAATATAATCTGGCTGTGGAATAAAGCAATCCTGTATGTTTCTCTTTGTGGAGTAGTAAGTTATTGTGTGTCCACTGTGCATTTTGTTTATCCATCATTGTTTCCATCTTTGGGGAATTGTTACTGGAGCTGCACTGAGCATTAGTGTACCCAGAGCTGCCCAGATCTCTGCCTCCCCTTTGTCTGAGCACAGAGCGAGAATGCGGCACAATTTACAGTGGAGAGCTCTGGTGACCTGGTGGTAAGAAGCTGCACTGCAGTCACAAAGGCACCCAGTTTGAAGCCACAAGCTGCTCCACAGAAAAGGGTGGGCAATTTCCTCCCATGCAACTTACTGCCTCTGAAAACCCACTGCAGCGTCAGCTATGGGTCAGTTCTGACTCAACAGCACACAACAATAAAGAAAAAGAAAGCTGAATATCTGTTACCTTGAAAATGTCATGCTGAGTTAAAGAAATCAGTCACAAAGAGGACAAATGCTATATGCTTCCATTCATATGAAAAATCTAGAAAAGCAACTGAATCCAAATCTTGTTTATTAGAGGTTGCCAAAGGAGGGCAGGAGGGAGGGAGTAAGGAGACTCTCTGCTTGGGAGCCACTGAGCTTCATTTAAGGGTGAAGGAAAAGCTGGAACTGGATAGTAGTTCACAACAGGATGGACATGATTAATGCCACTTGAGAATATTGTTGAAATAGCAAGTGCTTTGTTATGAACATATCCACTACAATAAAAAAAGCAGCAAGAATACACCAAAATGTGCACATATACTGACAAAGAAGATTTAAGGGGAAGAACATTTCAGGGAAACTACGCACTGAATCCAGTGACCATCTACCCTTGACTCCCCATCATGCTACCTGCTCTTCAGTTTGCAGCCTTCCCAACATTTCAGGGAAACTACGCACTGAATCCAGTGACCATCTACCCTTGACTCCCCATCATGCTACCTGCTCTTCAGTTTGCAGCCTTCCCATGAGAGGCACTCATTTCCTGCCAGGGTGGTGCCCTCTGCTGCTGGCTGGACCTGCCCATGAGGGTGTCATTCCTCATGCTTCCATCAAAGTGGCCTGGTCCCTCACTGGCAGGGCACTTTGCCCATTTTAGACCGGACTCTACATGGGCATTGAATGCAGAAGTCCAGTGCCAGCCCAGAATCCCTCTGACAGGTACCTCCCTCTTCTCTGAGTTGGTTTGTTTCTACAGGATCCACACCTCGTCCCCCAGGAAACCTGTATTTTCACCCGTACTGGGGGTGTTCAATGCTAGCTAGTGGTCTTAATTCTTCCAGAAGAGACTCACTCATCATTCCATGTGTCTCCCAAACTTGAGAGCATACTTAGATGTTATTGAAGTTGCTCCACTCAGCTCAGGGTAGAGGAAACCCCCTGCTTTATCTCCCTCATCGGGGAGTGGGGTATGGAAGGAGACTGCCTAGCAGACTACCAACCCATCAAAGGAATTCTCCCTCGATGACTTCTCCCTGGTTTTTACCCTCCACCAGAAGATGAACTTTGTTTGCCATTCATTGAGTCAGAACGAATGCATAGCTGATCTTCCAGCAGGTTTCTGGTGCTGTAAGTCCCAATGAAGGAGACGGCCCATCCTTTTCCTGCAGAACAGCTAGTGGATTCAAACCACGTACTTTTAGGATTACAGCACAACCTCTTACCACTTGGCCACCGGAGTTCCCTAGAGATGAACTTGTTGAAAATGGATCCCCAAGCTTCCAGCATTCTTTGCACAGTTCCATCCCCAGAAGCTTGGAGACATCAGTCAGAAGCAGGACAGTCGAAGTCCCATTTTCATATCCTGTTACTTAACAGTCTTTAAATCCCTGTATCTGAGATGTATATTAATTATACATACTTCTGAGAAATGTATTAATTATACATACCTGTGAGCTACATATTAATTATGCATACCTACCTATGTGATATATAATAATTAATTTTTAATTTTTTTTCAGGGAGCAAGAGGGCCTAATGGCTCCATTGGTGAAAAGGTAAAAAAAAAAGAAAAAAAATTCTTTTCTCTTTCTTCCTCTCTTGCCTGTGGGAAATATAATTGGACTGTTGGGTTGGAATATCGGTATGTTGTCAGCACAAAGAAACTCATCTCAAAGGAACTTCTTAGCAGAGGTGGAACAGCTGGGGGTAAAGTCCCTGCGAGCTTTTCTCCTTTCTCAGTCCCCTCCCCACACGCACATTCACGTGCTGTGAGCTGCTTATCTCCCAGAGAAATGTCAATTAGTGAGACAGCTGCCCGGGGCCATGGCGCAGTGCAGAGCAGCAAATTCATCAGCCTAATTAAGTCCAAGGAATGTCTTTCTGACTGAGTGAGCCGTTCCTTCTGAGACTGAAGGGTAATCAGCCTGTCCCCCTTTCTTGCAGGGTGACCCCGGCAACAGAGGCTTACCAGGGCCCCCAGGCAAGAATGGGCAAGTTGGCACCCCGGGTCCTGTGGGACCTCCAGGGCCTCCTGGACCACCTGGACCCCCAGGCCCTGGATGTGACATAGAATATGGATCCGAGGTAATTGTCTACCTTTTATGGTTAAAGGGAGCTGTGGTCGTGTAGTGCGTAGGGTGTTGCCCTGCTGCCCCGAAGGTCTTGCCTCTCTGGTGGTTTGAATGGACCCGAAGGTCTTGCCTCTCTGGTGGTTTGAATGGACCGGGAGCTCTGAGGGAAAAAAGATGGGTGAACTCCTCCCCTCTGATTTACAGCCTCTGAAACTCTGTAGAGGGTCCAGCTATGAGTCGGTTCCAACTCAGCAGCAAGGAGTTGAGTGTTATGGCTCAAGAACCCAGCATTCTAGTGGTTGTTGCAAAGGAGGCTGGTACACGAGGGTGGGGTGCTGCTGATTACCCGCTGGCTGCTCAGCTCCCAGCCCCCCCCTCACACAGGGGCCGAGGAAATGCCCAGCATGTGGATGTGGTACCTGGGCCTGAGAACGACCCCATTCTTTCTCCTTCTCTAGGATACCGAAGGCTCTGGCAGTGTCAGGCTGTTGAGTCAATCCAGACTCCCCCGACCAACGGCTTCAAGCGTAGGTTGATTTCTGACATTGTCATTGTGAAGATTGCCATGCTGGAGTTAGAGACCCAGGATAGGAGAGACAGCTCTCCTTCCAGAGCCTGGTCCTCTCGCTCTCTGTGAGGTGTTCTGTCCTTCAGACTCTGGATGGGCTTCCCTCTCATCCTGCACTCCCGTTCATTGCCTGGAACGGATGAAGCCTGGGAGCTTTGGGAGAGATGGGCATGGGCGGGAGTGACCAGAAGAATTTGGTGTTCAGTTCCTTTGTTTCTGCAGGGTCTTAAAGGAGAAAAAGGAGCCCGAGGACCCAAGGTGAGGTCGTAGATTAGAGATGGAGATGTGGGCTTGCAGCAGGTGTCTTTCAGCCTGGTCCTGGGAGCATAGTCCATTTACAGTGAGACTTTTTTTTCTTCCCCACTGTTGTACTCAGGGTGACAGGGGATTGGATGGAGTTGGCAAGGTGGGACCCCCTGGACCTCGGGGGCCACCAGGACGCATCGAGATCTTGCCCAGCGTGAGTATCATGCTGACCGGTATGTGGGGCTTTGGTGAAGCAGGAGGAGACTGGCTGCCTTTGGAGCTGCTGTATTTATGCAGGGGGCTCAGAGTGGCATCTGGTGCATGGAGCTTCCACCTCCACTGTCTGACCACTGTCTGATTCTATCCTGTGACCACTATTCTCTCTCTGATGCTTCTACAACACTCTTCTAGTTGACAGAATGTGGGGACCAACTCAAAGAGCCACCTAGGGGAAAGGTATAGGGGTCTTAAGTAGGGAGCACCCAACCAGGTTCTGAGGAAGTGGAAACATAAAATCAGAGGTTTTAAGGAGAGCATTATGCTGAGTGAACTCAGACTTGTAAGGGCAAATACTGCAGAAGACCGTTATTGTAAAAACAGAAGGATCACTAGTAAGATGTGTATGGGAACCTAAGGAGGGAAGGAATGGGAGTGGAGGAGTGAGGATAGGTAGGGGTGAAACCACAGGACTGGACAGTTTGGTGGGTGGGCAGAGGGGGTGAAGGAAATGGGAAGGGCCTGGGTGAAAAGGTAGGGTAATGATAGGTAAAGTCCAGCGGTGAGTAATTTTATAATGATGGGAATGATTGTATGAAACACAACCCAAGTGAAGAATAGTGTGAAACACAATGTGTGTGAACTTTGTAAGCAAACCTATATAAAATAATAAAAAGAAGGCCCCAATACTGTCTTATTATGGATAGATGTGAAGTTGAAAGACTTAGCTTACTAGAAGGCCACAAGTCCCTGCTAAGTGAACCCCACATCCCACAGACTTGCCCACTAGTCCCTGGATGTGCTCTTGGAGGCCCGTGGATCCCAAGGGACGGGAGGGCAGTACTGAACTGAGCACGTCCATTTATGCTTCCTCAAGCTGCCGCTCCACTGCTCCAGGAGTGGAGGAAAAGGCCAAGAAAAGCCGCTCCTTGAGCTCCCTTTACCTTTATCTGACGGAGGGAGGAGGCCTCCCCTACCCTGTCCTCATCCACAGAGAATGTGACATGTGATCTGTCAGGTCTCTGCAGGGCAGGCCCTGTATTCGAGGTCACCCACCCCTTGGGCAGGCCTTTGTTCACCAGTGGCCTCTTAACCTACCCGTCCCTTCCATGTGCTCCTGAGGGCCCATCTCATCTCTTCACGCCCTTGAGCACAGTGCACACTCAGTCACTGTCAGGAGATGTCATTTAATCAATCCCTGTCAGAACCAGCTCAAGAGCACATGACAGTAGCAAACACCCATGTGCATATACTCAGTATCAGGTCCCATGCGAGGGCCTGTGGGTACAGAGAGAAATAAGATACCATCCCCATCCTCAAGGGGGCCTGGTGCAGGAGGGGAGAAGGCCTAGCAGTCATCTAGCACTGAGATGCCAAGAAATAAATGGATGAGCAAGAAAGGAGAGAGATGGTTTGGGATCTCTCCTTGAGAGATCTAGGAAGGCTTTCTGGAGGAAGTATCTTTGAACCTGGACTTGAAAGCTGAGGATTATTTAGCAGGTTGGCGTGGAGAATGGGGCTTCCAGAATATAAGGGACAAGAAGGAGCCAGAGCACAGAGGTGGGAATATGTGAGTGTATCCAGGACACAAGTGTGGACTAGCATGGGAGAGCAGGCATAGGATATGTGGTGTGGAAAGGAAACTTGGTGAGAAAGCTGGATTGTAGGCTGGGAAGGAATTGCAGTCCACTTACTATTAGGACATCACATGGCCCTCCTGAGAGAAATGATGTCACATTGGTAGATGAGAGAAAGACCAAACACTCCAAATACCCCGGGAAAACAATGACTAGAACAACGGCAAAAAAAAGGACAATTTAAAAATATCAAGTGTGGGTACGGATGGAGAGAAATAGGTACTTTCACATGCTTCTGGTGGAAGTGTAAATTGCACAGCCCCTTCGGACAGCTCTTTGGCAGTCTGTTAGAACTAAAAATGTCCTTAGCCAACAATCCCACATGGAAAGATCTCCAAGCTATACACCAGAGTGAGGGGAGGGGGGGACAAGCTGAAAAATAATGCATAGAGCCTGATGCCATTTATGTAAAATAACCACACATGCGCACACGACCATCCAGAACAGTGCTTCATATGCGTGTATGCATGTGTACTTAAAGTTTTAAAAGGTAGACTGTGCTCATGCATTGTACAGCTTAAACATTAATTAAAAGAGAGATTTGGTAGGCAGCTCAGGGCTGTTCTACAAGAAACGAGGGGTGGGAGAGTAGGCTGGCGGTGGGTTTGAGTGTGTTATTTAAGTCTGCCCCTGTTCTGTCATGCTGGGTGGCTTTAACGGAAGGCAGAACACATGCTGTCCTTTGTCCTCATTGTCTGATTTCTCCTGTTCAGGCTTTGATCAACGTCACCCTGGGATTCATGAATTTCTCTGACATTCCCGAGCTCATTGGACCTCCGGTGCGTATCCCCAGCTGCCCTCGAGTGAGGCTCCCGCCCAGATGTCCCTCTTGACACAAACCCGGGTGGATTTAGATCCTGTTAGCTCCTGAAACGTAGAGCTGGAATCTGTGAGAGGAGGATGCAAAGAGAACTTCAGGTTCTGCAGGCCAGTGTATTTATCACCACGCGTGGTCCCAGGAAGAACTTCATAGTCTTGAAAAGTTACCCATATGGTAGTCTGGTATTGCAGAGTCTAGCTCAATGCTATGGAGTTTCCCACTCCTACGCGTCAGAAATACATGTGCTGTGATTCAGAGCATCGTAAGGAACAAATATACTCATGCCCGTGCTATGCTTTGGACCTGCTTTTATTTGCGTTCTGTCATTTCTCAGTCTAGAAAGAGCCTGGAGAGACCGATCAGTGTGCTAAATGGGGAAACCGAGGCCCAGAGAGGGAACATGACTTGCCTTGGACTTTTAAGCCCCGTTTTATGAAATCAGAGAGCTGGCACATAAGCAAGTTGAATTACTTGTTCGAGTCCACAGTGCTGAGGTATGGCCTGAAGACACAGGAAGCTCCCTCCCCTAGCCTGTGTGCTAACTCCGTATTGCATCTGCCAGTACCTGCTGGTGCCGACTGGAGGAAGAGGAAGGAGTTTGGCTTTGGGGCCCTCAGTGTCTGACCTGAGCTCCACCACAGAACTCACACTGCTCTAAGGCTCCGATTCTCCACCCTGGCATTATCTTGCCAGACTCTGGGGCAGCTTGTAAGAGGTACAGGTGTGAAACTACTTTGTAAGCTGAGACACTCTAATACAAGCCAGCACAGCTTGTCCTTCTACAGCTGTGCAATCCAGATGTCTACAGGGCCACCAAACCCTGAGGACCCTGTTAAGGCTGGAACAAAGCCCCATCCACGTCCCAGGCAAAGTCCAGTGCCCTCCTCAGAATTTCTGCAGATAACCAAGAGGCTCCAGTTGCACCAGGCTTCTGCTTCAGCTGAGTGAACTCTGTTTCTAGTTGTCTTCTTATCTCCACAGGGATTCCCTTTCCTGGGTTTCCAATAAAACAGCCCCGCTTACCTCAATAATCACACCCTAAGATCAGTCAGCCCATAAACCATAATTCACACACAGAGGATCTTTGTTTTCAGCAGACTATTTGGAAGTTTGAAGTCATAGAAGCCTGATATCTTAGTCAAACACAGACAAGCCTCAAGGCAATGATTGTCGTCTCTGTTCTGACAGTCCCTGGACCCTGCGCGCACTGCCTCACTCTCCTCGCCTTGGAGATCTCCCTTTCTCCCCGCTCAGGGCTGGCAGACCACGACTGCCCTTCATTTGGACAAATGCAGACTCACGGTGTTCTCCTCCACCCCTGGTTCTTCCTCAGGCTTTTCCTACTTGTGGGCAGTTCCTTGTCTGAGGAGGCTCAAGTTCTGACTGTCACTCTTAGGATTCTCCGTCCTATCACATGCACAGGACATTGGGAAACTTGTTGCAAACTCGTTAGCTCAGCTCGGCTCGGCTCGGCTTGGTTCTGCTCAGCTCAACCCATGGCCACTGAGTAATTTCTGACATATGGTGACTGTCCAGTGGTTTTCTGAGGTGGTAAATTGCAACCAGATGAAAATGCCCATCTTTCTCCGTCAGAGTTGAGCCACTTGAGATAGGGAGCCTTAGAGTTTGCAGCACAACTTTCTATGGATGCTCCCAGAGCTCTGTTATCTAGTTCGAACCCTCTATATACTGTGCCAAATACATGAGGCTGCGTTCCTTATAGCTGCAGGTGTCTGGGATTGGCTGGAAGAAGGGCCATCCCTCAGATGGAGTGAGCCCTAGATGGAATGTAAATCCCAAGGAGTTTCAGATAGATGGAGGAAAACCTTCTGGCTCCTATGAGGAAAGAGAATTGAGTCCTACAAACATATTCTCACTCCTAACCCCAGGTACACCGGCTACTTCAGGGACTTGTGCAAATGAGTGTATCTATCGAAGTCCCACACATTGCATTTCAGGACCCTGAAAGATTTCAGACACTGAGTACCTTGCAGAAAAGGCTGCCATGTAAAATCGAGAATTCTGGCTTGGAGGAGCCAACACTGTGAATACCTGAGAAACTTCTGGCTTTGTCCCTGACTAGCTGTGCGACTCTTCAGGAAGAGATGGACAGGCACCTTCCATGTGATTTACTGCCTCTGAAAAGCCACTGGAGGGTCAGCTATGAGGTGGTCCCGACTGGATGGCACATAACCACAAGAGTTGTGTGACTCTGTAGAGGTTTTTCTCCTTCCTTCTTGAACCTCAAAGTCCTCCTCTGCATAATTGGTTGGAGAATCCTCGTGTTGGGAAATGCTTAGGTTTTGCCAGGAGCTGGGAGGGGATGGGCCTGTATTCCTGCAGGGCCTCTCGAAAGCTGCCTCTAATCTAGCCTGCTTTGCCTTTGGTGTGTCACAGGGGCCAGAAGGCATACCTGGGCTGCCAGGATTTCCAGTAAGTATGCAATACCTCCCTTCTATCTGTGCCAGACGTTACTACTCCTCTGTCATTACTCACGCTGTTCTTTCCCTCACCTCCGCAACTCCAAGCTCTCACACCATCTAGTTTGCAACCTTTCTTTAACTGTCCCCCCACAGTTTCCACTCTTAATTTTTTCAGTTCTATGAAGCTGGTTTTTTGTTTCTTTGTTTCACTTCTCCTGTGATTCTTTTCTGCCTCTAGCTATAGTTATCTGTGCCCATTTGTTCTTGTGTATATTGTGAACAGCTTTGGGAGCACTGGGTCTCTTTCAACCCCAGAGCCAACCATCCAAGCAGTGACTGACTTCCCATAAATGCAACTGGATGAGTCAAGTGTTTCAAGTAGATAAAGTCCATCTGAGGCCCCCAAGGGAGAGAGTGGTGGTGACAGAGGGCAAGAAGGGAGAGGGACCATGGACCAGGACCCCAACTGTTAATAGTTGTGTGTACCAGTGTGGGATCTTTACCATAAAAGGTGAAAATGCGTTTGTCGAAAGCTTTTCTAAAAGCATAAGTCTTTGCTTAAGCGCAGCTCCGTGGTCCCAGAGCAGGGCCTGCAGGATGGTTTTGGGGCATTGAACGAGTTGTTCTGGGGCTCACGCTGGAGGATGCAGTGTCAACAGGAGAAGAGTCTACTTTCAGGGAAACAAAAATAATGAAGGAAATATAGAAGAAATAGAGGTTGGCTCTTGATTGTAGAGTTAGAAGTTATTTCTTTTTCTGTTTCTTTATGCTTTTTTGAACTTGGTACACTTTCTAAAGGACTCCATGCTGGGATGATGCTGAAAAAACATGTGAATCAGACTTCACAAGACAGAAAAGAACCACAGTTAGTGACCCCTGTTAAGAAGAGGCAAGGTCAGGCCTCTGGACTCCAGCCCCAGCGTGGCTGCTCCATGACCTGGAGCATGTTTTAGAACACCTTTTCCTCTAAATGAGTGGTTCTGTGTTCCCACAGAGCCCCTGAGAAGAGCCCCCAGGGCCACTGTAGAGGGCAAGGGGTAAGTCAAGCAAGCCGAGTTCTGACCACAGCCTCCCAATGAGGGAAGCTTCCTTTTGACATGCTTTGTGTCTTGGACTCAAACGTGTACAACAGCCCATATTGGGTTTCCATTAAATATTTTACTTTCGACAGAGGAAGTTTCACTGTTAAAAAAAAAAACAAAAACAAAAAACCCAAAACAACTCACCCTTTAACCCAGGAGACAAGACAGGAACTTGTGAAAGCTAAGTGGCAGGAAAGTGTTGAAAAGTCTTTTTGGGGACAGAAGTCATTGCCCTGTGAGTCACTGTCTCGGATACTTAGTTTGAATTGGGGTCACCTCTTGCTGGGATATCTAAATGGTGGGTGGAATTTGACTCTGCAGAAGGGAGTGGATGGGACTCCTGGAGGGGACAGTGAGGCAGAGGCAATGGACAGCACTGTGGCTGGAGAGGAAAAGGATCACCCTCGTGCTGTGAGGTAGAATGGAAGATGAAATGCTTAGGCCTGACACTGTGGGGCTTGGAAAGACAGGCAGGATGTCTGGCTCCCATCCCATAGAAAGCCGGGAGCCAGAGAACAGGAGGAATCATGGAAGACGAGTGGGTTGCGGCTGTAGGGTGGCCTGCAAGAACAGCAACAGCAGGGTCAGAGTGGAGTCTTGTTTCAGTGGCTCCCCAAGAGTGAAAGGGCAAGTTCAAGGAGGTGTGGAGCCTGCAGGCCTACAGACACTCTGGGCCATCTTCCTTTTAACAGACCACAATTTCTGGAGCACTGAAAATTAGGAAAATCCATGGTTTATCGTGGCTTCTAACTAACTTGGAAAGAACACTCTCTATCCTTTGCCTTTTGGGAGAAGGAAAACTTTCTTATTGATTAAAATGTTTTCTTGCTTATGAACAACAACAACAAATTCTCCAACAACTCTTTCTAGGGCCCTCAAGGACCAAAAGGTGACACTGGTGAGCCTGGATTTCCAGGACTGAAAGGCGAGCAGGTAAGAGGGGCCCAGGTTTCCAAGTGGGATTCTGCTCCAGAACTTTAAACACTTCAAGTTGACTGAAAATCGTTGTTTACTTTCTTGAGTGTGTTATTATACATAGGGTTGCTGTGAGTTGCAGGCGACTCAATGGCACAAAACATCATTATATGTTAAGAGATAATTCACATGCACAGATTCACACTTTGGAAGTATCCAATGGAGAGGTTTTCAGTATATTAACAAAATTGTGCAACCCATCAACTCTTTCTAATCCCAGACATTTTTATTTTCCCTAAAAGACACACTATTCCCATTAGCTGTCACTTCCCAGTAGTTAGTTAACTTTTGTAATCTCAAGGTTCTTCTGTGATGAGGGTGAACCATTGGTGGCGAAATTGGTTTTCATCATGGTTTAGAAAGAGAACTCCACACAACTTTCCCTTGGAACTGTTATCACATATGCTCTACTAATTGCCTGTGGGGCAGCTCTGTTAAAATGCACACTCTCTGAAAAGAGGTCTCAAGCCAGTTTCTTCTGTATAATACTTAATAATCAGAAATGGTGAACAAATGTCACTGAAAACATTTATTGAGTGAGAGATTGTCTGATCAGTGAATGAAATGAGTAATTCTTAGAAATGATAAATTGGAGCATTCTACAGTGGAATGTCAATCTTGGTCCAGAGTTTTTGGCATAAATACTTAGCATGCAGAGTCTTGGTCCCCAAGCATTCCCAGCAAGCTCATGGCCTTTGCGGATTTCCACATTTGCCTCTTTGAATTGATTTCACAGTTGGTTTTTACAGATGAGGAGAGGTGGTATCTATAAACAGATATTAGAGGCTTTAAGTTCTATTCAAATATTCATATATCCATCCGTTTATTCATCCATGTATTTGTCTACCGATTACCTAAGATGGACTGCCCAATTTTTTTTATAAATTAATTTCTTTATTTTTCATTTCAATGAACATCTACAGAGATTTTGGAATTCATTCATTGTTGCACTTTTCTGGACTACCCAATTTCTGTACTAGGCACTCACACTGTCTTTGAATTGAATCTGGCTCACAGTAACCCGACATGATAGAGTAGAACAGCTTAGAGAATTTTCAAGGCTGTAATCTTTGCAGAAGCAGACTGCATATCGTTCTCTCATGGAGCTGTTGGTGGATTCAAACTGCTGGCTTTCTGGTTAGTAGTCAAGTGCTTAACTACTACACCACCAGGGCTCCTCAACCACCAGCAGAATCATCCACCAGGGCACTAAAACCACAAACCAAACATGCTGATTCCTGACGTGGTGACCTTCTAGCAGGTTCCTGAGGCAAAACTGGAGGAGATTGCCTCATCTCTATCCTCCCATTTTGACTCCAGTACCTGACAGACTCAAACTACTGGCCTTTCAGTTAGTGGCCTAACATACAACACACAATGCCACCAGGACTCCTTATACTAAGTGCTGCAATGTTCTCTTCTGTATCATTGAGTTGTAACTAACACATAGCTGACCCTGCAATGGGTTTTTAGAGGAAATAAATCACACTCCCATGGGAGAAGATTATCCTTCTCCAGTGTAGCAGCCAGTGGATTTGAACTGCATGCCTTTAGGATGCCATTGCAACTCCTTGCCACCAAAGGCACCAGAACACTAAAGATACAGAAATAAGATAAAGGGAGCAGATAGGCAAAAAGCCCACAAGGAGTGTAGTCATTGCTGTGATAAAGGTTTGTATAAAGCCAATTGGAGCATTTTGCAATTTAGGTTTGGGGAGTCAGAGAGGGTGGACATGCTTTCCAAGGAAGGGAGTGTGACGTTTCTGTCCTCCCTCCTTCTCCCTCCCCCTCATTCTATTATGACCTTCAGAAAGGGGAAATGGGATGCTAATATCTGCTGGAATCACAAATCCAGCAGGTGGAGGGTTCAAAGAAGTAGGCAAAGGGGCCTGAGTTTGGTGCTGCATGGCACGATGTCTTGAGATGCTTTTATTGCTTTGGACCTGAGTAGACGGGATTAGATGAACAAAGCTCTGGCTTGGGAGGAGACCCCATCATACTGACCTTGTGAAAGTGCTTGCTTTAAATGTCCTGTTTCTCCTGTGGTGTGGTCAGATGGATCTAGTGGCACCTGTGTGCCTCCCCATCACTAACCTCCTGTCACCTTGATAGCCTGGGACCTGTGCCCAGACAGCTCTGCTCTGGCCATCACAGCAAATGCACTTTCTCTCGCTCTGCCTCTAATGCTTTTGTGCTTGCTTCTTCTTGCTGCTGGCGTTCGCAGGACTCCTTTCCTCACCAGCAAAGTGGTAAGATCCAAATATCAAGTGTGGGCTTAAAGGGATGAAGCAGAAAAGGCAGCTCTGGCAGCTTTGATAACCCTGCCCTGGCTATTCCCAGCACTGTTGAAGGGAGTTTTTACTGTGGTCCAGCCCAGCTCCCCAGGGCCCCACAGTGAAGTTAGGGACCAAAGTCTGAGAGCATTATAAAAGGTTTCTCCACCTGGCCTTGTTCTCTGGACATAAACCGTCCTAGAAGCACCTGGGATGGTAGATGAAAGCGTTCAGGGAAGGGCCATTTGTTCCTGCTCCCAGTACCCACCATGGGAGTTTTACCTGACTGAGAGTGTTTCCATAGGAGCCCATGGTTGTAGGAGCAGAACTCCTCCATTGAGAGAGGCCTTGGTGCTTATTCCTTCCTCTCTTTTCCCAATCTCAGTTCTTTTAGGAAAAATAAATATGTTTGTAAGAATAGGCCTCAAATTAGGTTATCAGGAAAGCAAGCCATCACATATACTGAGAGCAAGATGTTCCTGAGGGAATTCTGACCAAGAAAGGGTTGAAAAGACCATAGAAGGCCTGAATATGGGTGGGCTGAAGGTGAGGGTATAAATCTTCCAGCAGAAAGGGCCAAGGATGGGCATGGGAAGACCCCTGCTGTGCCACAGGGCAGTGGATCTGACCACATGTGGAGGAAATAACTCAGAGGACCTTCAGTCAGGCAGTTGCTGCCTCCTATGATGGGTGGGGAAGTGTGAGAGGTGGGGTTGGAGGGTGGGATGAAGGTAAGAGAGGTCACGGCAGTCGAAGGTCTTAGTGATCCTCTGGACAAGGTAGGGTAGAGAAGACCCAATCTCACTGAAAGGTTCTCTGAATTGCAGGGTGAGAAGGGAGAACCTGGTGCCATCCTGAGTGGGGACATTCCTGTGGAAAGGCTGAAGGGGAAGAAGGTAATTACGTCAGCAGACCTCAAGAGCAAACCTCTCCTTCAGCTTCCCGTCTTTGTTTCGGCTGTAAGCAGTATTCCTCTGATGACGAGAATGTATTCCTGTTTTAGGGTGAGCCTGGAACACACGGGACCCCAGGGCCAATGGTAAGTGGCTGAAATGTCTCTCACTTTGGCACTGTTACATTTTCTTGTCCGCACTGTGAAAATACAAAGGGTGAGGCCCAGTGTGGAGACTCAGCCTTAGATGGAACTTGGTCTGGGAAAAGGTACATTATCAGTGGCAGGGCAAGCCACATAAGGTGCACGCTTAACACTGAAAGCCTGAGAGTTCCTGCAAGAGGCTGGAGGAAGGCATTACTTCTAGAAGCCTATGAGTCCAGCCAGCCAGCGCTGTGATGGGTTATGCTTCTGAGTCAGAGATTCAGCTGGAGAAACTGAGAAGTGAAGACAAGACTCTGGTCCGTGAGGACAGGTGGAAGCAAGGCAGGGTCCACATCCTGGAGGAGGGTCTCAGGCAGGGCTGGTATGCGGTGTGACACAAGGATGCATCATTTGGAGCCCTGAGCTCCAAGACCAAGGCCATGGTCCGTGCTCTAGCTTGTCCAGCTCCAGGCTACCAGAAAGCTGAGGCATCTGTGAACTTCCCCCTCATTCTTTAGTTGGTCCAGATGAGAAGCTCTCAGAACGAATCTGGGGAAGTATAAAATCAGTAGGAGGTAGGCGTGTGGTGAGGGACTGAGCAGGCAGTCCCGTCCATGAGAATAAAGACTAGGAACCAGGAGCCAGGTGGATGGTTACATCATCATCTGTCCTTGCCCTCTTTCTATCCATGGTTCACCATCACCATCATGAAGGCAGGCAGAGTACCACCCGTCTCCATGGACCTCGAGATTCTATTCTTCCCTAATTTATTATTTGTTCTGCTCTGCCTATAGGGGCCCAAAGGACCACCAGGACATAAAGGAGAATTTGGCTTTCCTGGACGACCTGTAGGTATCAGCACCCTCAGATGGATACAGAGGAAAAGCGTGTGGGCCAGGCTGATGTGCGGGCAGTAGGTTTGCTAACGTGTCTCCCGTGGGTTTCAGGGTCGCCCAGGACTGAATGGCCTCAAGGGCGCCAAAGGAGATCGAGGAATCATGATGCCAGTGAGTGTCACAGCCCCAGCCCCACCCACACCATCCTGCATCAGAAGAGAGAGAGGGTGCAGGCTTGAGTGGTTGAACCTGTAGACTGAATGTTCAGGGTTGTTTTCCATTGTCGCCTCCATGGATCCTCTCTCCCAGCCTTCTCTGCTCACTCTCAGGAGAACATAGACCCGGGGAAGGTGGTAGCAAAAGACACTGAGTGTACTCAGGAGTTCTAGCTTCAAGTCCAAGGTCTTCTGATTCTCATGGAGAAATGCCTCCTTGTTCCTCCTTTGAGAGTCCCAGGGACTTCATACATCAGTTGTTGTTATTGTGTACCATCAAGTGGGAACCGACTCATAGCTGATCCTGCAGTGGGTTTTCAGAGGCAGTGAATCACAAAGGAGGTGACTGCCCATATTTCTCCCTTAGAACATCTGATGGATTCGAACCACGTGCCTTAAGGCTGGAAGCACAACTTCTTACCACTAGGCCAGGGCTCCCTTCACACATCAGTATGTGTTCAAGAAACACTTTTGAGTTAAGTGACTATCAAACACATACCAGCTACTTAGACAGAACCTCACAGGCTGGCATTACATTACATTGGCATGGTACAGGAAATAGAAGAGGGAAGCCAACATTTATCAAGTACCCACAAAATACCAAACACTGTGTGAAGTGCCTTTCAGACGGTAGTTCACTTAGTCCTAATAATAAGTGCCCTATGAAACACTCTGGGAGGTCGTAACCTGCCTAAGAGGAAACCAGAACAAATAGAGGCTTAGGTTACCAATTCAAGATGCAAACACAGGTCCAGACCCACTGCTACTACTGTTCATACCATACTGCCTTGCTTTGTACGTCCAGAAATCAAGAAATACTTCACTGAAGCACTGGGTGTGGGGGGTGGTCCTAACATACTCATCACGCCCACTGGAGCTGGGAGGTAAACCACATAGCAACACTTTAATGTGGGATGATCAATAGATTCCAGATGGACTCGACACTTAGCACCTGCTGGTCAGAACCTCCTCATCCTGCAGTCAGGACCCTCCTGGGTTCCAGGCTGAAGGAGGGGGGAAAATTATGTGTGCTATTGAGACCAGAGTGACCCAGCCTTGAAAATAACCTTGGTGGCTAGTAAGAGTGGGCTGTCTTGTGTTTATGAGGGCCTCTTCCAAGCATCGTATCATGTGGGGGACCCCTGCCCATCCCCATCTCCACACCCAGGACATACCGACAGAGGACGTCAGCTCAGCATTGACTGTGCAATGCTCTGCAAGTCCCAAACTGGGTTCAAATCTCAGCTCTGCCTTAATTGCCATGGGACCTTTGAGCAGGTAATTCCCCCTCTCTGGGCCTTATTATTTACCTGTGGAATGCAGAGCTCTGCGCTGTCTGGTTTGTTGTGAAGTGCAAGGTCATGAATGTAGAAGTGTTCTATAAAAGGACTAGGAGAAGGTGCTCCACTTGGAGGACTCTGCTCTCTCCATTGTGCTCCCAGTCCCCGTCCTCTGCACTGGCAACCACTTTAACTTGGTAATTTTCTTTCTCTCCCTCCTTAGGGCCCACCTGGCTTACCTGGTCCTCCAGGCCCCCCAGGAAAACCTGGAGCTGTGATTAACATCAAAGGAGTAAGTAGGGGAGCGGGAGACTGGCCTGGCCTGAGCTGCAGTCTGGCGTCCTGGGGTCACGTGAGCGGATGGCTTCATCTCTCTTGTTCTTGTTCTCATTTCCCACAGGCTGTTTTCCCAGTACCTGCCCGGCCACACTGCAAAATACCCGTAAGTAGATGTGTAGTCAGGGCCTTGAAGAGCAACTCCAAGAAGAAGTTTAACCTTAATGTCTTCTAGAAGTTTAATATAGATCCTTAAGTGACTTTCAGATAATTAACTTGTGGCGATGAAATGTTCTGGATCTTCTCAGTGGAAACACTACCAGCAGGCAGCTTCTAAAGCAGTTGAAAAGGCAGGGCCTTTGGTTACCATAACCACGTCAGCCTCACACATGGAGACGTTCAAAAAGACAAATAGGCCCCTGAAAATCACCACTGCCAAGTGTCACCTAGTAGCTGCTGCATTGGGAACTTCGGGTTAAAAATCTATCACTGACCAAGTTCTGTCTTTTCATGTTGTTGTGTTACTGCACAACACGCAGCGTTGAAGGGCAGAGATTATGGCTCTGACTTTATAAGGAGGATACTGTGACTCAGAGAAGCTGACTGACTTGTCTCAGGCCGTGTAGTGAGGACATGATAAAGCTGGGGTCATGCCTCTGGTCTCCTGACCACCAAGCAGGTGTAGATTCCCTGAGACTGTGGGCTCTGAACTTGCCAGTCTCACAGTCACGCAAGGCCACTGTCCCAGTGTTACATTCTCATTAAGAAAAGTTCTTGTAAACTTTCATTAAAATTAATAAATAAATTTTTTAAAAAGAAAAGAAAAGTTCTGTTTTCCGGGAGGAAACCCAGAGAGGTTGAGCCCGTTGCTGTGTACGAGTATTAGTCATGGAAACATTCATCCAACAAATATTTACGGCACCTCTATGGAATGACAAATCCTTCCTGGCTCTAGAGACACAAGCGTGGACTAGACAGGTGTGGTCTCTGCTCCTGGGAGCTGCAAATGATTGCTTAGAACGATTCCTTGAAGTGTGGTCATAATTGATGCCTGCTGAGGGTGGTGAAGAGGCTTGGACCTGAGGCTCCAAGGTGATGCAGTTTCAGTCCCCGTCTGTCCATTTGAGGCATGAGTTTTATCTCCACCCCCAAGAACTCTGGCCTGGAAAGCAGAGGACAAGACACGACCTGCTAAAAGTGACTAATATGTTCTAGCCATCAGCTCAGCATGGCAGTAACAGAGCTTCCCCGTGTTCACATCGATGAACTCAAGATGCCATCCTGAAAAATGGCTGTATCTCACTTGCTTAATGTGAAGACAGGATTGCTATAGTCCAGAGAAGCAAAATCCTTTCCATCTATTTCAGCTGCAAATGGCTCCACTATGTGACAGCACTTGATAAGCTTCAGGATGCTAGGAAAATGCTACTACAGGTATTAAGACACAGGCTAGGAGCCATCACAATAACTATGGCCTTGGAGGTCATGGGACTCCTTGAGAGAAGTCAAAGACAAGCTCTATGCATGTTAGGTGAGTGTTTGAGCCACACTGTCTGGCTGTCATCATTCACCTAAGGCACCTGGTCAACTCTCCAAATGGACATTTTGACACTTCCTCTCGGGCCTAGCATTTCAGATCTTTCTTCTCATATCATCCCCTTTCCAACATCTTGACAATGTACAACTGACACCTGGAGGGAAGAGACATTATCAGCAGAGCTGCAAGATATCAAATGGTGTTGCAATTCTCATCTTTAACCTAGAAATGTTTTCCCTGGAAAGTTTCCTACCTCTGCCCCCCTCTCCTCTTGGTGACCCCTCAGGAACTTGGGACCCTCCACCCATAAGCACTGAAGGATCCAGGCACCAGAGATATCACTGTGGTTGCACATATCAACTGGCAAAACGAGAAGGTATCCTATGTAAGCAGAATTGCAAATAGCTGTGCTTTAACAGATAAAGAAATGTAAGAACTTCAAGGGGGAAACAGGAGAGGAATATTGGCAACAACAGAGATTGCATGGTGCTTAAGGGAGAGTCCTGATTCGCCACCAACAGCTAACGGTGACCCCTTATTAATTCTCACTACAGTTAGCTTCCGTTCATCATCTTCATCATTGACTATCCATCCATCTTATTGTCATCAAGTTGGAGCTGACTCATAACCGACCCTCCAGTGGATTTTCAAGGCTATAAATCACATGGGCAGAGCGTACACATCTTTTACCCACATATCTGCTGGTGGATCTGAACTTCTGAAGAGGTGTAGTCTTTGAGTTAGCAATGAAACTCCATGCAGGTTATGTCACCAGGGCTCCCTATCACTGGCCCAGCATCATAATTGGGTCTTTTATCCACTGGACACTTGACCCCTCGCATGAATCAGGCAGTAAGGAAGGAATCCAAGGGTGTTTGTCGTTAGCAAACCCAGCACGGCCATGGTTTGTTGCCTTAAGGCTTTGGGCTTCCCTGGTGCTGAGGTTTCAGCCAATAGGACCTAGTTCTGCCCCTGCAGCCCATGATGGCCTCTCAACTGAAGGCCTGGGACACCTGGGCATCGAGAGCTGTTGGGGGTAGAGAATGGAGCACTCTGGCTTTCTGGGGTTCCAGAGGCAAAGGAAAGCATCATGACTCTAATGATATTGCCCCTCCTGTCAGTCACCTCCAGGACACTGACTGTGTAAGCAGGTAAACACCAGGACAGGGTTTGCAATGTATAACTTCTCTTCCTCTCTCTTCAGATTGACGCCCCTCATGCTGGGAATACAGAACTCCTCACGTTCCATGGTACATGAGCCCTTCTTCACCCTACATTTCTTTGGGGCATTTTCTGACCTTCATAGCTCTGGGGAAGGCAGAGTCTTTTGGTCCAGTACTAGGTGTATGTCAGATGGTTGAGGAGGTGTGTCTGTGTGTGGTTGGGGCAGGAAGGTGGTAACTGAGCCATGGTATTAAAGTGGCAAACTGGTTTTGTCACATACCTGTCTGTTCCGCACACCTCCGCTGAGTCTCCGAGTTAGCAGGAAGAACTTCATTTGTTAGTTTGTTCATAGAACTTTTTCTAATGCTCACTCCTCACTTGGTGCCACCCTATGTAATGAGCTGAGCCCGAAGAATCCTTCCCTGTTCCTGCCACCTTGGCCCTTAGAATCAGTTAGGTGAAGCTATTTTAAAATCATTATAATGCAATACACCAAGAACTATGATTACAGCGAGGGGCCTTGGGAGCTTAGTAACTCTTTGCCTGGAAGGGTCCCTGGACGAGCGGCAGTATCATCTCCCAGGAGCTTGTTACAAACGCAGACCTTCAGGCTTCTCCCCAGACCTGCTGCATCAGAATCTGCATTGTAACAAGCTCCCCAGATGATGTATATGCACAGTCAAGGGGGAGAAGTAGTAGCCTGGAGTTTTGATTAGGAAATGTCAGCATGTCCATGACCTATTGGAGATTATCCTCCAATGTGAGAGGGGGGGTAGGCCTTGAGACAGACACCTGCAGGTGACCAATCACTCTTGCCATCCTTGTCATGCTGTGTGTCCCCCTTTGTACTCAAGAGTCTGAATAGCTGCAGTTTAAGTAAAGGGGTTGTTGTTGTTATGTGCTGTCGAGTCACCTGCGACTCATAGTGACCCTATGTACAAGATCTCTAAACTCTGCCCTATCCTGTGCCAATCTCACCATCTCTGACACAGCTGCCCCCATTATTACCCCAGTCACTGAATCAATCCACCTCATAGAGGGTCTTCCTTTCCTGCACTGTCCTTCCACCTTCCCAAGCATGACGTCCCTCTCCAAGGACTGGGCCTTCCTTGCAACATGCCCAAAGTATGTGAGACAAAGCTTCAGAATCCTTTTCTCCAAGGAGCAGCCCAGCTTCACCCTCTCCAGGACAAACCTGTTCGTTTTCCTAGCAGTCCATGGTATATTCAATAATCTTCTCCACCACTACGGCTCAAAGACTTCAATTCTCCTTCTATCAGGAGAATTCTTTTATTTCCAGTACCTGCCTCTGGCTAGTCTCTGTTATCCCCAGCCTGTCATGTGGTGATCTTCCAGATGCTATCTGGTCCTGTGGAATTTTTGGTTTCAAAACCCCATACCTGGATTCCATTCAAGTCTTCATAGAAGGAAAGAGAGGACAGGCCTTTCCAGGTGTGACAGCCCTGGCTTCGACCCATGTTCTCCAACTCACAGTGGGCTGTTAGCACAGACCCGGAAGTGAGCAGCACGTTGGGGAGCTCATTCTTTCTCTCTAGTCATCGTTGCTGTTGAGGGTCTTGCTGCAGGTGATGGAGACCCCACAGGCTGCACTGACAGGTCTTCATCCTCAGGCAGCACCCTCGGCATCAGTGAGGTCTTGTGAGATGCAATTGCATCTTCCTGGAGAGCCTCACGCCGCAGCACCACACCATGTGCCCCTGAGGCCCACAACCTTCTCTCCCTCTGGGGAAAACTGAGCCTGCAAGCCTCGTCTACCCTTGGTGGCCCCTTTTCGGGCCTCCTGAGCATTGGAGATTGCTCTTTTCACACCTCTTGGGAACTGAGAATTCAAAGGGATGTTCTGTCTCTCTGGTCTAGTGTCCACACAACCCTCCATGATGGAGAAATGGGCAGCTTCCCATGTCAAACAACTGGCCTTCCAAGGAACTCCGTTCTGCACCCCATTCCCATAGTAAATGCGGAGGGAGAAGGGAAGGACTGCAGTGAATTTTATGTGGAAGTCACACTTCTCTCAAACACTGTGGAGAAATGGGTCACGGTAGAGTTAGCATCTTCCAAACTTGTCATCGGATTATTCACTTGTCCTCTGCAGGCCCAACTCACTCACTCAGGGGACCCTTCTTCCCCCTTTGCGTGACCATGCTGCACAGGAATGGGTGAGATGGGGCAAGGTCGACCTGGGGTTGAGCTTTCATCTACATTCAGGCAGCTGACTGCGTGAGAGGTAATTGTAGCTTCTGCTGGGCTCTCATGACGCGCGGTTGGTATCTTAATGATAGCACTTATTTCATCTCGCCTTGCATTATTATTAGCTCTGTCTGGCTCCCCAACAAGACTGAGGTTTTCAAGGCCAGGACTGTGTCTGATGCATCTACCTCTGCTCTCTTCATCATTTAAGAAAGGATTTTTATACCCAGTGACTCTCCAACAGGCCTTTGAGTGGACTTTGCTAAAGGGTCTCAGAGTGAAAAATGGCCCTGGATTTTACATTGAATAAAGGTGATTTTCAACTATACATATATTTACTACATGTGGTTTTTTTGTAGGTATTAAAGGAGAAAAGGGTTCCTGGGGTCTTCCTGGCTCAAAAGGAGAAAAGGGTGACCAGGGAGCCCAGGGACCACCAGGTAATCCAACTTTTGCTCTAGAATTTTGCCTTAGGTTTTGTTTCTGCGGAATGTAACTGGAATGGAGAGTAAGACTGATTGTATTACAACCTTGACTTTAAGCTCCACTGGATTCTAGAGAAAGCCAGTCAAGGCGTTGTTATTGTTGTTGTTGATGTTGTTGATGAACTATAGCTGACCTTCAAGCAGGTTTTCAGAGACAGTAAATCTCATGGGAGGAGAACACCCATCCTTCTGTGGAGCAGCTGGTGGATTTGAACCACATACTTGTGGGATTACAGTGGCGTTTCTTACCCCTAGGCCATAGGGTCTCCAAAACAGATGGTTATATCAAAAAAGACCACATGTTCTATCTAAGAAACAAGGCCCAAAGAGCACCAGGGACTTGCTTAAAATCCAACCATGTCTGAGGAACCAGAAATTCAAAGGGATGGTCTCTTGGTCCATTCTAGAGTCTACATAGCCCACTGTGGTGGTCAAAGAGGGCTGCTTCCCTTCCCTAATACTAGTCTACTAGAAGGCTCCCTTCTGTGACCTACTCCCATATAAGGAGTATGGAGAAGGGAGCAATGGGCTCCAAATGGATGCCTCACAAACTCTGTGAGAAACGGGGTCACCACACGTTGGTGTTCTTCCAACCTTGTAAAAGGAGTAGAACTAGCATGGACTTTTGCTTCCAAATCAGTGAGTAGTGAATGAGTAAACCTAGTTCACTTCCTCTAGGATACAACAGTCATTGTCAACTGGAAGGCTTTTGCTTGTTTTTACGTTTCTGAAATGAAGACCGTGAGTTTTCTAAAGTGTTTCTTTTGTAGGTCCTCCCATTGATCCATCTTATCTGAGACATTTTCTGAACAGTTTGAAGGTAAGTCATTTTCTATTAAACATTTGGCCAGCATTTCCAAGTTCTTGAACTTTGTCTGAAACCAGCTTCACTTCATTCTTCTTCCTATAATAGTTATGTGTTCTCTGTCTCCAGGGAGAAAATGGAGAAAGGGGCTTCAAAGGAGAAAAAGGAGAATCAAGTGTCAATTACTTTATGTCTGGGCCTCCAGGCTTGCCAGGAAGCCCGGGCCTAATTGTAAGTAGTGACCCCCAAGTCGTTTTCCGTAATGAGTTATGGCTTACCCTGAAGTCCCCCAATAAGATTATATAGTTGAAGAATCGAGGGTTAGTCACAATACTACAATCTGGCAACAGGACTTGGGAAATTGGCCAGCTCTTCTCCTGTACTTGTTAGTGAAGATCTTGGCTGAGGCCCATAGAGGAAAGGGAGCCGGCCAAGGTTATATATGTTCAGGTAACTCTAGGCTATTAACACCACTGCCTTATTCTTGTAAGACATCAGAAACCCATTCAACACAAAAGAGCTAATAATAGGGGCAAACTGGGAAGTGAGGAGATATTTTTAGAAGGGCTATTTGATCTGACGTAGAGATAGCAAGACTTGTCTCATGTACTCTGGACATGTTATTAGGAAAGACCAGTGTTGGAGGGGACACCATTCTTGGTAATATAGAGGCTCAAGGTAAAAAAAGAAGAAGGTTATGACCCTCAAGAAGACAGATTGTCACAGTAGCTGCAACAGTCAGTTCAAGCATAGTTGTGATTGTGAGGATCATTCAGACCCGGGCACTGTTTCCTTCTGTTACACATGGGGGCCCAGTGAGTCAGAGTCGACTCAGCGGCGTTTGATTGGAAAAATTTGAGGTTTTGAGTCCAGCTCAGAGGTGCCTCAGAAGAAAGTTCTGGCAATCAACTTCTGGAGCACCCTGTTCTGCTCTGACACATGTGGAGTGACCATAAGCTGGATCTGACTTGATACCAACTGCTTTTTTGTTTGACAATTCTGAAATCATGTCAAAGAAGCAGCCCTCAGATGATCTTGATGTACAATTTTTTTTCAGCTCACGTGCAAAAAAAAAAAAGTCCTCCAAGAGAGAATATAATCCAGTTATTTACCAGTTGTTCACTGTGTGGTTTACGGCCTTTAAAAACTCCCTGGTAGGTCAGCTATGAGTCAGTTCTGATTTGATAGTACATAACAACAGCAATCCTATGAGGTTGTTGCTATTATTATTTCCATTTACAGAGGAGGAAATTTGTTAAGGATTGATAATCCGATGACGTTCCCAGGATTAGAAAAGGTGGGATCAAAATTCCCAGGTAACAGACTGGATTCTTCAGACATTCAAAACCAATGAAACCTGTATAGGTTTGTTGTTGTGGTTATGTGTTGTTGAGTCAGAACTGACTCACAGCTGACCTTGCAGGTCACAGAACAGCTGGTAGGTTCAAACCACCTGGTTTTGGGTTGTCAGCACAACTCCTTACCACTAGCCCACCAGAGATCCCTTATGTAGATATAGAGAGGTAGAGAAGATAGAGATATATGAGAGGGGGTGAAAGAGAGTGAGAGATTTATTTCAAGGAAATTGCTCATGTGTTTATAGAGGTAAGTCCTAGGTCAGTAGGTCAGACTTCTAGATGGAGGCATCTAGAGAGGCAGAGACCTGGCCATTCAGCCAGCCAGCAAGGTCTCAGGCTACTGGCTTTAGAAGCTACCAACTTCAGAGGCTGGCAACTCCAGAAATGATTGTAGGGAAATGGGGCCACAGATGAGAGGCTTTTATATCGATCAATCCAAAGTGAATGCAAGTGAAGCAGGTCACTGGTTCAAGTCTGGAGGCCATTAGCGAGGTAGCTAGATGTAGATCTGACAAAAAGATCTCTAGCTTTTGGACAGAGTCCAAACACAAATAGCATGCAGGCTACATGCCCTGAAGAGACCCATCTTTAATCAGATAAGGCTTATAATGTCCTTGCAGATTGTACAGATCATAAACCTGACTCATTAAGGTCTTGCTGTGTTGTTGGTCCTTGAGTCAGAACCAAGTGGATCGGTGGGGGTTGTAAATTGCAGTGGGTGGATCTGAACCATGTGCCTTTAGGTTGGCAGCACAGCTCCTTACCATTCACCTACCTGTGCTCTTTCATTAAGTTTATAGAGGTTAGATTTACAACACATAGGATAGGTATTTGATACTGACACGCATGGGCCTTTGGACACACAGTATTAACCATGACACATGGACTCTTATCTAATACATCCTATTGCTTCCTTTTGGAATTTGTGAAGAAAAGCCTGTCCTTCCATCCATTGGCTGAACAATAGAATTGAGCCTTTAGAAAAACCTAAACAAACGAATGGATAGAGAAGCTGTGGTATATTTTTTTTCTATAATTATATTTTATTAATTTTCATAAACATTTACAGAGATTTTGGGTTTCCACTCATTCATTGTTGCACTATTCTCTCTACCCTCCTCCCAGTTTGTTCTTGTCCAAATGCCACAGTGCTTGTCGAAGCCAGTTCTGATTAATCTTCTTTGTCAGTGTATCCTTTGCCATTCCCTATCACTCCTCCCTGAGAGAGACTTCACCCTGAGTCATAAGGAAAAGGGGACGGCGTATTCTCTTAGCTACTTCCTGCTGAAAAGGGACGCTGTGGGTTTCAGGGTGAAGATCTTCTCTCACTACTCTAAAGGGCCCCTTTGGCAGTAGGAAACACATAGACTATTATGGAGATTGATTTTGGAATTCAGATGCACTCATATTGATTGTGCTTGGCTGTACATGTACATATCCTTGAATATGTATCATGGGGGTGTTGCAACCTAGAAGACACAAATTTGACTAACAAGTTATAAGTACATGAGTCCAAAAATTATGGAAAAGTAAAAGAAAAGATTCTTTCATTGTTTTACAAACCCTCCCCCAGGTCCCCTCCACCATGCAGCCCTCGCTCTAGTCTCCTGTGATGACAGAAATACCCAGTTACATCTCTCTTTTAGACGGTTCTCTCCCTCCTCTGCTTCAGTGCAGTATACATTATTGAACCCATCTTACTCAGTGTCTCCCTAACCCCAAGGACAGTCCCATTCTACAACAGTGGCATCATGTAATATTTGTCCTTTTGTGACTGGGATATTTCACTCAGCATAATGTTCTCCAGAGTCAACCATTTTGAATAATATTGCATGAGTTCCTTGTTTTTTAATGCAGCATAGTATTCCATTGTGCGAATATACCACAGCTTCTCTAGCCATTCGTTTGTTGATGGGCACTTAGGTTGTTTCCAACTCCTTGCTATTGTGAACAAAGCTGCAATAAACATGGGTGTGCATATATCTGCTTGGATGTCAGCTATGGTCTCTTCAGGGTATATTCCCAGTAGTGGAATTGCTGGGTCAAATGGTATCTCTATTTGCAACTTTTTGAGAAAGCGCCATACTGCTTTCCACAGGGGTTGCACCATTTTACACTCCCACCAACAGTGAATCAGGGTTCCAGTTTCTCCACAACCTCGCCAGCATTTGTTGCTTGCTGTTCTGTTAAATTTTGCTATTTTGACTGGGGTGAAATGATATCTCATAGTTGTTTTAAAGAAGCTGTGGTATATTAACACAGTGGAATAGTACACTGCATTGAAAAACAAGGAATTCATGCAATATTATTCAAAATGAGTGACCCTGGAAGACATTATGCTGACTGAAGTATCTCAGTCACAAAAGGACAAATACTGCATGGTGCCACTGTTGTAAAAAAGGACTGATCTTGGGGTTGGGGGGGAGACTGAGAAAGATGGGTTCAAAAATGTATACTGCATTGAAACAGATGAGGAGAGAACTGTTTAAAAGGGATATGTGATTAGGTATTTTTGTTATGACAAGGCTCCAGAGTGAAGGCTGCATAGTGGAGTGGAACTGGGGGGAGGGATTGTAAAACAATGAAAGAATTTTTCTTTTACTTCTCCAAGAGGGTAGTGTACTAAGGGGGGAGGGTTGGAAGGGCAGAAAAGTACAACAATGAATGAATGGAAATCCAAAGTCTCTGTTAATTTTCATTGAAATTAATAATAAATTTTTAAAAAAAGCAAAACCTAGATAAACTAGAGGTCAAAAAGTGCATACACGACACTGTCAAAATGCTGACTATAAAGTCTGTAATGGTGAGGAGTGTCAGTGGTGTTAAATAGGCTAAATCTAAGTTTTCTACAAAGGGCAAATCGTATATAAGGTCAGAACAAAAAGTAACTCTTAAAGCATTCCTGAGGACCTCGGGTTGGGATGGTGACATTGTAGTGAAAGGATGAGGCTGGATATGGGGAACCCGCCCCATTGAGTGACCAACACGATGGGGTAGGAGATAGAGGGGCAATGTGAGATGATGTGGACTCTTCTTAACCAAACAGTCCAAACATTAAAGACCTCCTCATTAAAGGAGTCGTATGGACTTCTAGTGATCGACGCTGCCTCTTCCGTGACGGTGTACTTTCCTTAATAGGGTCAGAAAGGAGAGACGATCATCGGGCCCCAAGGACCCCCAGGAGCTCCTGGCCTACCTGGACCTCCTGGTTTTGGAAGACCAGGCACCCCTGGGCCACCAGGACCCCCAGGACCACCGGGACCTCCTGCTATCCTGGGAGCAGGTTGGTACCGTGAACTGCCCCTTCACTCATGCTGCCTCTGTTATGTTTAGGGTCACTTCTTCTAAGTGCTATGCCTTCTCAGAGCTTTCACTAAACCGTACTGTGTAACAAGCAGAGAGCTGACCCAGATATAGCCTTCTTGGGAGTTTTGACAATCAGTTCCTGGGCCTATGAGACCTGAGAGCCAAAGATATGGATTTGAGGCCGGCTTTGGTTTTCTCTTGGTGAAATTCTCATCATGTCTCTGAGCAATAGTTTCTCAAATGCAAAATGGATGAAATAGAAGGAAAACCTCATTTACTGAACATTTAACCAAATGCTAGGCACTTGGCTGGTGATCCATGACTTTTACAATAAGTTGTACACATTGTGTTCATTCATATACACTGTGATTTGTATGATCTTTGATTTACTTTGCATTTCATTCATACACAGGTACTCCATGTAATGAATTACCATTGAACTATGCCTATTATTACCCTGTCTCGAGTCCTCATTCAGTCTTCCCTAGACTTTTACCTCCCATGCACTCTACAAACTGCTCTCCTAGTGATTTCCACCCCTGCCACCTTTTCTGCGCTCTTCTCTCTTTCCCTTTCTCCTTTTTATTAAATTCTTCTGATAATCCTTCAAGCAATATCTAAGGATGCCCATTTTACAGATGAGTAAAGTGAGACTCAAAAATACTTGGGAACTTTTCCACAATCACACAGCTAATAGGTGTTACCCACAGGATTAAGACACAGACCAATGGAGCTTCAAAGCCTGAGTTCTTGTCACCACTCTTATACTTGAAAATATTAACATCAGTAACAGAGCACCATTTTTGTTGTTGTTTGGGTTGGCCTGAACTTGGTGTGGCTGAAGCACAGAAAAGGGTTATCTGTGGTCTGCAGTGTCTAGGGTATTCCAGAGAGCTTTGCAGAAGCTGAGATGCTGGGGTTTTACCACGTCATGATTTTTTAATTAGCTCTACGTGACAAAAGGAAGCTTAAGTCAAATGAGATCAAGTAAAAGGAAAATGTATTAGGTGTGAAGGAGAGGGTGAACAATCCGTTTTTGAGAGAGGCAGACCTGCAGCTGGACCTCAGGAAGTGGACGTCCGTGGGGGGCTTCCACCAACTCTGATCTTAACATCTATCTGTGTGGCTGCTTCCTGCCTCCTCACCACAGATCACATCTGCCACATGATGGGAGATAGCGCTGCCTACAACTTACAGCTTCCGCCCTCAGCTAGAAGTGTTGACCTTCTCTCTCCATTTTCATTTGAAACGTCCTGGGGTCAGTCAAGATAGAGGGAAGTACTGATTGTCCTGTCTTGGCCAAGTGCCCAACTTTGGGCCAATAATGGGCCAGGGGATCACATAAGAAGTGATAGGATCACATGAGAAATAAATCTTTCTGAAACCAAATGATTGTAGAAATAAAGGGGCGGGGGGAACGGCAAGAAATTATATTGGTCCTACAAAGACAGGAAGTACAGAACAGATAAAGTGATAGGTGCCCTGATAGCCTCGAAGGTTGAATAGATGTTTAGGATGTAGAGTAATATTACAAGATGAAATGAAGATGTAGAAAATTTCTAGTCCATAATACTGGCTCCTGTAGGGGAATTAAAAAAAGCTTTGCTCCACTGAGAAAGGATTTCCCCTCATATGATGAACAGTCACGTTCATTATCCCATAGAGTCTTCACAGGAACCCTGGGGAGAAATGAAGTGGCTATATTGACATACTTTTTTAATGGATCAAAACATTGAAGTTCAAAAAGGTCAAGAAACTTGCTGTATTAGGAGAATCGGGGAACCTAATCTAAGTCCTTTAACACTTTATCCACTAGACAACCACCTTACATATAGATTTTTCAAGTCTTACCTGGTGGCATACTGTGTAACATGACTGTTAACAGAAAAGTCAGCAGTTTGAATCTATTAGTTGCTCCTCTGTGGAAAGAAGGATATGATCCTATGCAGATTTACCTTTATCTGGCTTTTTCTTGGAAAACAGGTGGAAGAATAGATTTACATGGGAACTGCAATGACCTGAAAAATTCCTTACAGTAATTCTGGGAGTTCTAAAAACATTGTTAACCTGGCTAAATGGGGGGAGGGGGAAAGTAAAGGGGTGATATGAAGAGAAATTGGAAATCAGAAATCTTATCAAACACATAACTGTAAATAATATAGTAGTTTGAGAACAGCAAACAACAAATGGTGGCGAGATTGTGGAGAAACTGGAACCCTTATTCACTGCCTACGGAAGGCAGTATGGCGCTTTCTCAAAAAATTGCAAATAGAAATACCATTTGACCCAGCAATTCCACTACTGGGAATATACCCTAAAGAAACCAGAACTGCCACCCAAGCAGATATATGCACACCAATGTTTATTGTTGCTTTGTTCACAAGAGCAAAGAAATGGAAGCAACCCAAATGCCCATCAACAAACAAATGGATAGAGAAGCTGTGGTATATTGACACAATGGAATATTATGCAGCGCTGAAAAGCAAAGAACTCATGAAATATACAAAATGGGTGACCATGGAGGACATTATGCTGAGTGAAATATCTCAGTCACAAAAAGACAAACTGTATAATACCACAATTATAGAACAGGACTGATATGGGGGTTGGAGGAAACAGAAAACAGGGAGTAAATAGCATTGAAACAGATGAGGGAGAGAACTGTATAAAAGGAATATATCATTAGGTATTATTAGCAAGACAAGAGACCAGAATAAGAGATGTGTAGTAAAGTAGTCAGGGCAGGGGGCAGACTGTATAACAATGCAAGAACTTTTTTTCCAAAGAAAAAAGTTAACTGGGCGGGGAGGAGGAGGGGGATAGGGAGGAAAATGTGCAACAGTGAATGAATGTAAATCCAAGTTCTTTATAAACTTTCATTAAAATTTTCAAAAAGGGAAAAATACGTTTGTTTGTTTGTTTGTTTGTTTGTTTGTTTGCATGAAGTAAGGCTTTGTTAGAGAATAGTAGGGTCTAAAAGTGTTCAGGGATGCGTAGTTCTTAGGAACCTGTCTTCCTCTGACATTTTTTAGTAGGGCGTGTGTGTGTGTGTGTGTGTGTGTGTTTGTAAAAAGGGCAATAACTTTTGTTTTATTTTCAAGTGACCTGATATTCTTTTTTTTTATTTTTTTTACCTGATATTCTTAAAAAGTTAAAAGCTTATTGTTGAATGCTGTAAGATTTAAAAAGTGCATTTGTTAAGTGTGTAATTTCACTCAGTTCTTTCTACTACCAGTGAAGGAAATAAGTCCATTTTATACTTCATAGATAAGGGAATTAGAGATCAGAGAACTTGCCTTTACCCAAGATTATACAGCTGAGAATTTACACACTGGCAGCTTGTACTCAGGTGTCAAGGCCACAAGGCCAGGACTCCTGTCACTGCACTGTCCTGCCCTCTTTCTAAAACCTAGCACCTTCTCCTTCCTTTCTGCACCTGCTTCAGCTGCCCAGAGTCACCTGCTTCTCTTTGGGGATGATGTGAGTTTTTGCCAATCAGGATATTTGTGGAGGCAAGTGACAGAAAGGTCCAGTTAGCTTATATAGACACCAACAAAAGGAGTTTATTCACGTATAAATGGTAAAGTTTTAAGCATGACTTGATTCAGAATCCTATCTCCTAAACCAACCAATGTGATTTGAGTGAAATACTGAGCCCAGAATATCCAAGATGCAGGTTCGGAGAATGGTCATGAGGAAGGCTGTGAACACATCTCTATATTGTCAATAAGTGTGGTTTTTAACTTTCCCTTTGCTTTGTCTTAGCTGTGGCTCTTCCAGGACCTCCTGGCCCTCCAGGACAGCCAGGCCTCCCTGGATCCAGAAACCTGGTCAGTATCGGTACCAATGTGCGCTCTTCTTTCTGCTTTATTTAGATTTGATTGAAATTCTAGTTATAGTACTTAGAGCTGGCCCATGTTTTATTATGGAATATGGCCTCCATACAAATAGAATTGGTAGATGAAAGTAAATTATATATTACTTTGAAATACCAATCTCTATTATGAATAATAAACTAGATGAATTCAAAACAGACAATAATATTTTATGAGTATGAGACATTTAAATACTGAAAGTAGTAGTATTTACTATTTATTCAGATGACTTATCAAGCAATAAAGTACAGAGGGAAATAATTTATTATGTATGTCCTATCCTTTTCATCCATAATTGGTGAGTTAGTACAAAAGCCACACGTATTAAATAGAAAATTATGAACACAAGTGTTCTTGTACTATGCTTGCTCTAGCCAGCCCTGCTCTAATCTGCAAAAGGATGTGGCTTATTCATCCGTGACCTTGTTAATTCCTGCACAGGACACAGCACTAAGAAGATATTATAAAGAAAAAATGATAGACAAATACTTCACAGGAAGACCAGGAAACCTAGGAATGTTTTTTGATCTTTGCTGGATTGGAGTCAAAATTTGTTGTGAAAGGAGTACTCTCCAGGAAATGATGGCATTTTGACATCATTTTGACATCACTTTGGAGGGAATTTCTCAATCATTTTGACAAACAAGGTCATTCCATTCTAATGAAAATGAATTTTTTTTATGGTCTTTCTTTCTCAATTGAAATTTAAAAATCCTACAATTACTGGCTGATGTTTCTTTGAGATTTGATGCTGTTTAATAGTTTGGTTTGTGTTTCCTACACACACACACACACACACACACACACACACACACACACACATGTCTTGGATAAGGAGTAGGCAAATTGCTCCTTGGAGGCAAAGATGACAAAGCTTCATCTCAAATACTTTGGGCATGTTGTTAGGAGAGGCTATTGCTTCGAAAGGGACAACATGCTTGGAAAGGTTAGCATAAAAGAGGAAGACCCTCAATGAGATGAACTGATACAGTGATTGAAGCAATATACTTAAAATGGCACAGGATAAGACAGGGTTCAGAACTATAGTTCATGGGGTCATACTCATGAATCATACTCAACTTGATGGCACCTACCAAGTACAACAATGTATTTTTTTATCGCTTCTGTATCTGCTGCTAGAAATTCCAAGATGACTGTCTAACCCTGGCATTTTTCTAGAAAGTGAAATGCTAGACCAATATTTTATAACATATATTTAGTATTCTAACTACTCAGCTAGATACAAGGTTTCAAGGTGTAGTGTTAGCTTAAAATCTGGCTTTTTGTTAGCCATTACACTTAGCCCCCTCTGGTCTCCAGCTGCCACATAGTCTTACAAATCATCACCAGCTGTGGGACTAGGATAATAGAAAGAATACTTTCCACACTGGTCAACAAGACTTGAGGGAGACTGCGTCAAGACCTGGTGAGAGCAAGACCTTGGTGGCAAAGAGACTGTAGCATAGCTGTGGAGAAACTGTGGCAAAGTGTAAGCAGAGGAGCCCTCAGATAAAGACCACAGTTAAATATCTTTGCTGTTCTTGCGGATGCTTGAAGGAGAAGTTTACTTACAACTGCTCTGAGGCAAACCTTGCTGGATGATTTGGATTTGACTGCTGAACTTTAAACCAGAACTGAACTGTAAACTAATTGTAGAATTATGCTTTGGAACTTGGGCTAAAAGATGGCCTTATTTCTGGTGATATTTTTTGCCTTCCCCGCTTTCCAACTTACTTCCCTAATAAACCCCATTCTCAGTATCACAACTGCGAGTCAACAACAAATAGCAACATGGGGCTGGGCAATGGGCTCTTTTTCTGCTTTCTGCTCTGGGGTTATGAGGGGCTGTGCAATGGGCTCTTTTTCTGCTTTCTGCTCTGGGGTTATGAGGGGCTGTGCTATTCTCTCCTTCTGACCCTTTCAGAAAGACATTCATGGCTTTGTGCCCTCATGTACCATTTCTGTTCTTGAGACAAAGATCTAAGCATTATTGCTTATTTGCTGGAATTTCTTCTTTTACTTTTATTTCATTTCCTTCAAATTGGAAACTGTTTAAAGAACAGCATGAGATAACACTGTCTTAAACTGTTAGTTTTTCACTGAAAAGAATGTAAGTGATGGCCATTTCCCCCCAGTTATACTGTTAATGCTATAGCAGACAGACAGGTCTGCCTCTGCGTAATTTTTAAATGTTCTTGTACTCACAAAATATTGTCTCTTCTATTATAATTTGTTGAATTCTTTATAATTCAGATTTATCTTCCAGAGTAATATATAGCTTTACTCTATCAAAAAGAGTGTTTTTTGGTTATTAACAAATCATGTATCTCCATGTTGTTGTTATTGTTGTTGTTGTCATCAGGTACCATCAAGCTGGAACTGTCCCATAGCTGACCTTCCAGCAGGCTTTTAGAGGTAATAGATCATACTGGAGGAGACTGTCCATCTTTCTCCTGCGGAACACCTTATGGATTTGAACTGCGTATCTTTGGCTTGGCAGTGCAGCTTCTTACCACTAGGCCACCAGAGCTCCTGTGTATCTCCATACCACACAATAAATAAGCCTCTTTTATTGACTATCAGAGAATGGTTCATAGCTGAATTTACACGGGACCATTAGTCATATCGTGCCACGCTGTAATGGTAACTGCCGTGTTTGGAATTTAAATTATTTGTCAGGTCACAGCGTTCAGCAACATGGACGATATGCTGCAGAAAGCGCATTTGGTTATAGAAGGAACATTCATCTACCTGCGGGACAGCACTGAGTTTTTCATACGTGTCAAAGACGGCTGGAAAAAATTACAGGTAATTTGCAAACTTCCTGTAACACACTGCCTCTGATACCCTCTAAAAAGAAAAATCTGCTGCTGGAAATGCCATTTTCATGTTTCATTTTCACTGTCCTGTTTTCCTTCAAGCTGGGAGAATTGATCCCCATTCCTGCCGACAGCCCACCACCCCCGGCGCTTTCTGGCAACGTGAGTATTTTTGCAGCTTTGCTGTTCATCCCTTCAGCTGTCAGCGTCTACCCAGTCCCCCTGGTATTGAGCAGTAAGCCCTCCGAACGCTAGCCAGCCAATTCTGCATGATTTAATAGCATGTGGAAGTCCAAGGATGACCAGGTGCCAACAAAAGAGTCTCTACAATAATAGAGTCAAAGGAGAACCGGGCTCACAGGCTGGCAAGTTGCTTTTCCCACTGCGGTAACTGAACTCTTGTTCACCCTCAGCTTGTGTCTCTGTGAAATCATTGCTTTGTGTAAGCAACATAGAGAGACTTACTTTTGAAGCTCTAAGACTTTCTACACCAGCGACTTCCGTAGTTCACTTTCATGATTACCCTGTGAGGCAAATACATCTTCCCAGTTTTCAGATGAGGAAACAGAAGCTTGGAAAGAGGGAATTTGCTCTATTAAATGGCAGAAATAGCCATAAAACACCAGTCTTCTGATTCTTTGGTTCAGTGCTCCTAAAAGACTTTCTCTTCTTTTTTCTGAGAATAATTGCTTTATTCAAGCAGGAGATTCTTCTCCTGAAAGCAGCCCAAAGATGATAATAAACAATTTAAAGTACTTTCTCAAGAAACTTGCACTAGAACCTCGATATACTGAAAACTAGATTGAATGCATATTCACACCATTTTTTTTCTCATTTGTGAAATAGCCACATCGGTATCATCCTCAGCCTCCACTGATGCCTGTTTTAAGTGCCAATTATGAGCAGCCTGCAGTAAGTACAGTTCATATTTAATGTGTGTCTATTGTATGCTAGGACCTATGCTTGGTCCTAAGTTCCTAACATCTACAGGTATCCAGAGTAGTGAGGTAGACAAACAAAAAATAAGCAATCATGAACTTTTAAAAAATATTCTACAGAAGAATTCTAATCAATAGAGGGGGAAATGTTGAACATAACTGTAAGACCTAAATGAAATCTGTATTTTCTGGAGCTGTTGATGCTGGATAAGCCCCTGAAACTATAATAGTTTACAATAATTAATAGTTAATACAATAATTATAATAGTTTATATATAACTAAAACTTTGGAACAATAAAACTCTCCCCCGAGGCCTTCTCTTAACAACAACAAAAACAAAATAATAACTCATTCTAATTAGTAAAGTGTGTCTGCTTTGAGCAATGTGTTGTTTTAAAGATTTTTTTCTATGTGCAATTATATTGACAATAGCAATTTGAAAAGTTAGATGGGACGCTTAGAAGGTAGTGAGTTTATGATAATAATGGTAGAACAATGTAAAAAGGAGTAACAAGAAAAGTAGCACAACTTGAAGAATGTAAACATTGGCACTGAATTGGACACGTAGACATTGTTGAAATGGCCTATTTTTAGTGTGTGTGCATATTTTTAAATACGCAGAGACAAGATCAGCTGTTACAGTACACCATAATGGGTGGTGTGTGCTGGGTTAAGACTGGTATGCCAGAGAAGTAGAGGAGTTTGAGTGGAGGAGGTGAGATCTGAACTAAAATCTAAAGGAGAGTTGAGAGCTGCGTGGAGGCAGTTGGTCGGAGGAGAGTGGGAATTCCCAGGCAGAAGGATTGTGGGCTGGTGAGAGGAAAGGGAAACACTTCGTTTCTCTAATTACAAGCATTTCACTGTGGCCTGGAAGGGAGAAGTTTAGTCTGAAGAGATCAGCAAGTTACACTCATCAAGGCCATTAGGAGCCAACAAGGCCTTTGCCTTTTTCCAGTGGGCAATGGGGAGCCACTGAAGGGCTTGAGGCAACATAGAAACAAAAGAAAAAAATCTCAGTCTCCTCCCCTGCCATCTGGTACTTATTCCATACCCTCTGGCTTAAGATGGCTAAAAAGATCTATATTGTCTGACAATGTGGACCCAGGTGCTGCAACATTCCTCCTCAGCTCTATCCTGATGAGTTGAAATTACCATATTGTTTTTCCCTTATATAAATGCACATGTCAGTGGCTTGCATTTCATGCCTATGAAGCTAATGCTGGAGGGGGCTTATGTGCTTTGCAAAAAAACCCACATAGCACTGCATTATTATGTAAAAAGATTGAGAAAATATATGAAGGAGGAGGGATGAGGGGCCTTCACTGACGAAATCTATTCCAAGAATATAGCAGAAAGGGTTGGGAGAGAATGCAGAAGAAGGCGCTGGATTTTGGGAGAGTAACTGGAAGAAAAAAATTAGGCACTAGTTTGGATCTTGGCTGCTGGCCAAGGTGGCAGAGTTCTGAGGGTAGAGTTATGACACAGGAGGTCTGGGGGAGTGGTCCATAGAGTTGCACCGCTAATGCAAAGATGACATCTCTGCCAGTTCAAGTCCACCAATGGCTCCTCAGGAGAAAAATAGTCAATCTTTCCTCATGTGGTTTACAGCCTTGGAAATCCTGCTGGAGGGTCAGCTATGAGACCATTCTGACTCAAAAGCAATGAAGTGTTTTGTTTTTTTCAGTTTGATCTTAAAAAAAAAACCCAAAATCAATCTATCCCAGCTACCTTAGTAATAAATGCCATGACCTTTCTCTTTTCAATGCCTTTTCCTCCTGGCCCCAGGCCTGCTAGGGAGACTCAAGAAAGGTCAGCAGGCACATAGCTAAATGGAGTATGAGCCCTAGGAGCAAAGCCAGCTAAAAATCTCTAGTATGTCCGGGAAACTGGGCTTCAAGAGGATCCATGGAAATCAAACTAATGGCTCAAGGGGTGATCCAGGACAACAGCGTAAGTCATTAGCCCTGTTCTCAACTGGAACACGCTGCTCGGGAAACTGTGAGCTCTTCTTTACAGGGGATGTTCGAGCCAGACTGAAATTCTAACTTCAGGTAGAGGTAGAGGTTGAAAGAAGTCTAGGACCTTCTTAGGAACACAAGATGCTTAAAGGTGTTGGTGTTTGCCTTTAAGCAACCCTTTGGCTGCAGCAATCTCTCTCTCTCTCTGTTTTTTCTAGTTGCACTTGGTTGCTTTGAACATGCCATTTTCTGGGGACATTCGAGCTGATTTTCAGTGCTTCCAGCAGGCCAGGGCTGCAGGACTGTTGTCCACCTACCGGGCATTCCTGTCCTCCCATTTGCAAGATCTGTCCACAATTGTAAGGAAAGCAGAGAGATACAACCTTCCAATAGTGAATCTCAAGGTAAAAATGAGCATCCTTCCCATTGCCTTCCAGGTATCATGGTCACCCAGGGACTGTAGGCTGCTAGAATTCTGTGACTTCAGGAGAGTGCTAGTTCAAGGCTCAGCTCTGTCCTTGATTGGCTGTGTGATTTGGAGCAAATCACTTTCCCTCTCTGACTCTCAGTTTTCTTACACTTGTACTTGAATTCCTGCTTGGATGGTCTTGAGGTCCTTTTCCTTCTTATAGTTTTATTTTTCGATTTCTAAAGTACTTTGTATCAATTATCTAAAGAGGACAATGGTTACTTGCTTGGCTGCTGATTGAAAGGTTCAAAACCGCTAGCCACTCCACAGTAGAAAGATGCACCCGTCTGCTTTCATAAAGATTCATAGACCTAGGAATCCTACTGAGTAGTTCTGCTCTGCCCTTTTGGGTTGCTTTGAGCTGGGAACAATTCAAGGGCACACAACAAGAACAGTATCTGTTATCCCAATAGAGAATATAAAAGTGGAGCTGTTCTTTTCTCAGTTTGTCAGAAGAAAAAGTGGAGGCTGAAAGAAAGACAAACATTTGCTCAAAGTCACTGAAAACTAGACTTAGTTTCCTTGATTCCCATATCTGAACTTTTTGCTCCAACAGAGGATGCCTTCCTCCACAGGGCATTGCTGAACGGCAACAGCGGACAGCTGTGAGCGTGGTCGCAGGGCAGAGCACACTATCCTACACCTATGTCGGTGCTCTCTATGTGTCTGAGCTGCCAAACCTGGTAGATGTTTCTCTGTCCCATGTACTGGGACAATCAAGACCTCATAGGTCCCCTCAGTGATACCACAGAAGCAGCTGTCACCTATAAAACTAAAGAGGGACAGTTCTGCCACTATTCAGACACGTCTTCTATCCTGACTTAATTTCCAGTGTGAGCCTTCAGATCCTTTGGTCCGTGTAACTCTGGGAATTGGAACCTTACATGTACCTCCTGTCCCCATACCACCTTCTGCCTCGTCTCTCAGAGTTCTGTCATGACAGCTCATCTCCTTAAATGACTTGAGTTGTGGGCTTTTCCATAGGAGAGGAGACTCCTTCATGAAAAGAGGCAAAGCATCACCTGGCCTGAACAAATCTGAAGCTCAGCACATAGCTATAAAATTCTGAAAGCAAGAAAATAAAAATAAAAACTTAAAATGTAATTTTGGTGGAGAAGAGCCTTGGACTCATATATAGTAAGAAAATTTGCCCTCAAGAAATAAGAGCTTTAAACCAATAGGGTGCAAGGATGACTTTTAAATCAACCCTCCAGTGTGCATGCCCTCTCCACACTCTGGGGTTGGGGATGGGGGCTCTGGGATGAGGTGGCATCTGGGCCTTAAAGAATGGGTAAGTATCTAGTTCCTTTGTAGGTTGATCATATTATGAATCTAAAGTAGTATTTTATCTCCATTAGGGCCAAGTGCTTTTTAATAATTGGGACTCAATTTTTTCTGGCCATGGAGGTCAGTTCAATACTCATGTTCCAATATATTCCTTTGATGGCCGGGACGTGATGACAGACCCTTCTTGGTAAGTGGAGATGGGAGTATGGGTGGTGTGTGATAGGACACTGCTGTAGGAGACATCCTGGCAATGGCATGCCTTTATCGGCTGCCCTCTGGAATGTTGCCAGCACAAAGCCTCAGCTAGGCAGCTGAGGAGCGTGAGGAGAACCTGGACACTGCAATGCAACCAGGAGCCTGGACCCAGGAGCTGAGAATGAGACCCTGAGCAAGAGTCTTTCTTCCTCTGAGACTCGTTGCCTTGGCTGCCCAATGAGCAAGATAATCACATAGCACAAGATTGTTGTGAAAATAAAACTAATATATGCAAGGGCATCAAATGAGTATGCAGTACATGAATATTGATTTTGGAGAAGAATACAGAACATCCAATGGAATGCCAAAAGAACAAACCAATTTATCTTAGAGACAGTGCAGCCAGAGTATTCCTAAGAGGCAAGAATGATGACGCTTTTTTCACTTATTTTGGGCCAGTTGAGAGGGTCTGTTCCTTGGAGGAGGACATCATGCTTGGAAAGGTCAGGGGTGAGCAAAAGAGAGGAAAACCCTCCATGAGATGGATCCACACAGTAACTGCAGCAATGGGCTCAAGTGTGTCAAAGACAGTGAGGACGGCACAGGAGAAGACAGGGTTCGGGTCTGCTGTTCATAGGGTCGCTGTGAGTCATACTCAACCAGATAGCTTATAACAACAACAAGAAGGTTATTGTGGTTTTCAGAATAGAGCAACTTGGCAAAACTTTGCTGAGTATCTGCTTTATGCAGAGCCCAGTGAATGCAGGGCCTGAAAGGAGGTTCAATAATAACCTTCATGGCCCCTGCCTTTATCCTTACAGGGAAAGACAGACATAGGTGGACTAGGAAGAATGTTGTAAAGTGAAGACAAATGCCGTGATGGATTTATGGAGGAAATATTTAGCCTTACTTAGGAGTTAGAAAGTCCTCATAGTGCAATGGTTTAGCATTGTTACTGACTCAGAGTTTCAGTTCAAAGTCCACCAGCCACTCCATAGGGAAAAAAAAACCCCTGGCAACTTACCCTCACAAAGATTACAGCTCAGAACACCCCCTGGGGCACGTCTACTCTGTCCCTTAGGGTTTCCATGAATCAGAATTGACTTGGGAGCACATAATAACAGCATAGGGGCAAGAATCAGAGAAGCCTTCCTGCAAGAGGAGGCATGTATTGGATTTTGAAAGATGAGAAGGAAAATGAGAGTGGCTCTTCCAGAATCAAAGGCCTCATGTGCAAAGATTCAAATTTGTATCAGCAGGGTAGACTTGTAAACAATTACAAACAGACTTTGGCTAGACTATCGTGGGTTCACCAAGTTAGGAAGATTGACAATGATAGGTGGTTGTTTGGGGTCAGTCTTTGGAAGTAGGGGTTTGGTCCTTGATTCCCTGAACGTATGCTATTCACGCACCAAGATTTACCACCCCCAAAAAAGTGTCATTTCCAAAAGTAACACAACACAATTTCTTCTAGGCCCCAAAAGATTGTCTGGCATGGCTCCAACACCCATGGGGTCCGGCTGGTGGATAACTATTGTGAAGCATGGCGGACCGCAGACTTGGCCGTCACAGGATTGGCCTCTCCACTGAACACGGGAAAGATTCTGGACCAGAAAGCATATAGTTGTGCTAGTAGACTAATTGTTCTGTGTATAGAAAACAGCTTCATGACCGACGCCAGGAAGTAATGAATGGCCTTCCGATGATTCCTAACCATTTTCCAGTATCCTTATGTGAAAAGTTGACACTGAAATTGAACATGTTTAAATGTTGTAAATATTACTTTTTTTTTAAAAGAAAGCATGCATTCATCACATCAGCAACCAAAGAAAACATACCTCAGTACACTCAAACCTGAAGACGTAAGGGACTTAGATCAAAGATAAAAATCTGATTCACATATTGGTGCTAGATTCTGTGGGAAGCTCCATGTGGTGGGACATGAACACATCCCAAGACAGGTTAAAAGCCAGTTGAAACTAAAGGCCATGATGGCCTTCTGCCCACTGCATCCTTCAGAAAGTGATTTCCTCCTTTTAACCGTTGTTATTGAGTGTAAGATGTCCTTCATGTTTTCTTTCAAAGTCAGTGTTTAGAAATGTTACCCTCTCTAAGTTATGTGCAGACCAAATGCTTCATTCTTCAGCATACACCCATCTTGCAACTGCTGTTCGTACAGAGACACAGAACTGCTCAAATGATCCTATTTGTATTTTCAGATATTACCAGACTTTAATTTTTTTTCCTCTAAAATATTATTGCCATGATGCTTTAGGAGTTTTATATTTTTACACAACCATATTTTAGTATGGCATCTGTTTATATAACTGACTTGCTGGAAAAGTCGAAACTCCAAATTTTCTGGAACGAAAAAAGAAGTAGCATATAATTACTACTTTTCCCTTGCCTCCCACCCTCCATCCCCACCCCTTTCCTGGTTTTATGATTTTCATTTGGCAACCCTTGAATCATAACTGTAACTGTATTTGAAACAGAAAAGACTATGGGGATGAATTTTCTGAGAAATGTACACTTCATGCTGTAAGCTTTGTTTGTTTCTTCCATGTAAGTGACCATAAAAACATCTTTTCCAGGTGTGCTATCTACTGATTGAATCCCCGCCCCCATCCCTTTATCTCCTTCTAATACTACAACTCACTGGCACCTAACAACAACAGCAACCCCTTTATTTTCTATCAGCAATGGGGGTGCTGACCTGGACTGGTCATGGCTACCTGTGGTGACCCTGTGTATCACAGAGTAGAAATAAGCTCTACAGAATTTTCACAGATGTGACTTCTCAAATGCAGATTTCTTCAGCATCTCTGGGTGGGCTCGAACCACTAACCTTTTAGTTGGCAGCAATGCTAGTCCTCTGGAAATGATCAGAAAATTGTGGGGTTTTGGTTTTTTCAATGTTATTCTCATCTGCTCCTACCTGTTTTCTCCTTCTTGGTCTCGTGGTGGGGCAGTCTGGGTGAATGAAACAAGCGAACACTAAGACTCTGTGACTTTGCCTCTATTTTCATGTCTGACTCTGAACAAGTATTCCTCATTTTCTCAAGAAAATTGGGGTAAGATATTAATAATATTGTTATGTGCTGTTGAGTCGCTTACATACTTTATATACCTTATGTTCAACAGCCCTGAATACTGTTCTATCTCTATCTTGAGTCTTTGACACACTTTGCCCCTTTACTCCAGTCACTGAGTCAATCCATCTCATCAAGGTCTTTGTCTCTTGCACTATCTTTCCACCCTCTCAAGCATCATGTCCCTTTCCAAGGACAAGTCCCTCCTTGCAACATGTCCAAATTATGTCAAATAGAGCCTCAAAATCCTTGTCTCCAAGAAGCAACCTAATTTTACTCTCTCTGTGACAAACTTGTTTGTTCTCTTTAAGCATCAAATGATTATATGTCTTGTTTACTTTTTACAATAATCCTGCAAAGTAGGTATTTTTCTTTTCATCTTACAGATGAGAAAGAAACGATAACATTTTGTTGCATGGGCTGTTGTTGTTGTTGTTGTTGTTGTTTTTTGTTTTTAGTGTTGAGGCTTGGCAAGTGCCTTGTTCCAGGACACACAGCTGAGGAGGGCCAGGCTAGTTTCAAACACTGACATTCTCACTCCAAAACCTCAGATCTGTTCAGGAGACTCTGTTCAAGGTTGCCCCTATGCTTCCTCCCAGCTCCAAGTCCTGGGATCTTTGGCTCTTTGTTTTACCCTAGTGGAGAAACATACTCACCAGGCATGTGGCCACTTGGGGTATTTCCTCCTATTCTGCTTGGGCTGGCCCAGAAACTCAGCAGAGTGAATTCATCCTACTAGTCCTTGAAGTAGGAAGGAAACTGAAGAGAAAAAAAATTTTAAAAGACAGTCAAAACCTCCACTTTGGGGCTTCCTAAGTAGATGAGGATATTTCTAGTGCGTCATGGAATGACGCTGGTTGTAGTTCGAAAACTCTCAGCCCTGGATTGTCTGCAACTAGAGCATCTTCTGACTGACCTGATGTGGGGAGTGCCTGATGGTGGACAGGAACCATCGAGGGCAGACTAGCGGGCTCATGGGATCATGAATTGAAGGTCCAGTCCAGATGACCCACTGGGGTCATGGGCCACAGACGAGACAATGGTAAAGACAAAGGAGTTGGGGAAGTGACTTCCTCCTACCTGCATATCCAGTAACAGGGAATTTTGAGTCCTTCTTAAAACTCAGGAACCCTGGCAGGTGTAGGGAAGGAGGAAATCATATTATGGAGTGGTACACAGATGCACTGCACTCCTGCCAATCAGGGATCCTACCTGTTACAGATCCAGTCGTGGTTCCTCCAACCATCCGGAAGCCCAGGAATCACTTCTATTTTCATTCCCTCATTTCTTGAGTGCCTCCTTGGTAATAATAATGTTATTATTTAGTCAGTACCAAGCTGGCTCCAACTCAAGACGACCCTCTATGCAGCAGGATGAGACACTGCCTGGCCTCGGCCAGCTTCGTGATTGTCGGTGTGCCCCTGCCCTGTGTCGTGACCACTATGCATTTTCAGTATTTTCCAACAGGAGGCTCCTGTTCCAGCACTACACTGCCATGATTCATAAAGTTTACATTGCCTAATTCTCAAAAGTAGATTGACAGGATTCCCCCTCCCCCAATAATAATAAACAGTCGTAAAATAAGTGCCAGGAAGTAAGCAAAGTCTAAATATTTCCATGATGACTACTTTGGTGGTAAGGGTTTTTGTGTTTTTTTTTAATTTGTTTTTTTTTTAAATGTTGCCATATATCTTGCATGTATTGGTCTTCCTCAGCAGCAAAGAGGCCCTGGCTCACACATCCACGCTGATCTCTCAGCCTCTAATTTCCAATTTCTTCTCCACACCAAGAACAAGAACTACTCTTAGGGTCTAGTTTGAGTTCTCCTGAGAAAAGGATTGATTTGAAAGCAGATTCTTTGGGTTGTTGTTACTGTTGTTAAGTGCCGTCAAGTTGCAGGCGACTCATAGCGACCCTATGAAGGAGAGTCCTTGACACTTGGGTGCCTTTCATCCTCTCTCCAGGTTCATAGGGTTTCTGGAGGCAAGCTATTATGGAAGTGGATGCCACTCCTCCTTCCAAGATTCTTTGGGAGACTTGGAAAAAAGAGGAAACAAAACCAAAACAGCTCACTGCCGTCAAGTGGGAACTGGCTTGCAGCTGACCCTCCGTTGGGTTTCCGAGGATGTGAATCATTCAGGAAAGCATTGCCTGTCCTTCTGTGGAACCACTGGTGAATCACCCGGACAGAAAAGTACAACTTTTGGGTTAGCAGTGCAACTCCCTACAGACTAGGCCACATCTTGGGGAACTCTAGTGGGGGGCGGGGAGGGAGCTGGCAAAGAGAATAAAGACAGACTGGCCCCTCCAGTGAAACTAGAGGGTGCTCTCTTATGAGGATCTCTGGGTGCTAGTACACAACAGACACCTTCATATTTTCAATCTAAGGAGCAAAGACTCTTGCTATTTATATATCAACTTGCATCGGTCATTTAAAGAGGTGTGCGTTACATTGCAATACTTCTGTCCTGCTGAACACAGGTAGAAGGGGCTCATGGTGTCTGACAAAGCTCAGAGGCACCAGGCATACAGATATTGGGAATTGGAACTCAGGGGAGTGCCTTAGAAATGGAGGAGTCAGCATCAACTTAGACCGTAACTAATACAGCAGTGCAATGGTTAGGGCCACGAGAAGTAGACAGAATGATTTCAGCTTACATTAACTTGACCTCCTTCTCAAAATCTTACTGAAATGACAAAAACAAGAAAGGAATATGTAATGTCATTGTTAAACAAGGAAGAGCAACATCAATCAGGCAGAGACCTTAAAGGCTTTCTGGAAGATAAGAAGCTGGTGTGATTGGATATATTACCACCCCAGCAAAGGCAAGACCTGCCTGCAAATCTCTCCTGCTGCTGATCTCCACATGGCTGTGCCAGCAAGGGCTGGAGGCAGCGATAAGTTGGGGACAGCTGGGAGAAAGCGCATGGTGATCTCCCACTTGCTGACAGCACCCAGAAGAGCTATCAATCCTTGTCAATATAGGCTTTCCTATTTATAAACATCAACACATAGCACACAGTAGTTTATCATCTGGGAAGATTCAGCAGTCTCAAAAAAAGGAGTCAGCCTTTGAATTGGAGCAAATGGCTTCAGCTAAAAGGAATCATTATTGTTGTTGGAAAAAGAGATAGTGTTTAAAACGTATTAACATGTGCATTTCCAGTGAAATTTCAGAGGGTAATAGAAGCATGCCATGAAATTCCAGGATGAGGAGAAAAAGTCTTGAAAATACAGTGCACATTCCCAAACGGTCCAAAATAAAACAGACCTACAGAGTATATAATTCAAGAGTGATTTAATTAATTTACCTGATAAACTCACTAGAAATCATATGATCTTAAATCATAGATTAAAAGTATAAGTTTATTAAGTAAAAGGCAAGAGAGAGAGAGAGGATAGACAATACAGATATATAAGAGGGAGCTCTGGTGGCCTAGTGGTAAGAAGCTGTGCTGCAATCCCAAAGGCATGAGGTTTGAGGCTACCAGCCACTCCATGGAAGAAGGATAGGCAATCTCTTCTCATGTGATTAACTGGCTCTGAAAACCTGCCAGAGGGTCAGCTATAGGTTGGCTCCAACTCTATGGTACGC